TAGGTGCACAGTCATTTTTGAGCACAGTGAAAAGGAGGGGGCTCAACACACAGCCCTGAGGGGAGCCAGTGCTGAGGGTTATGGTGGAGGAGGAGAAGTTGTGGATGCTCACAGACTGCGGCCTGTTTAAGAAGTTCAAGACCCAGGTGCATATGGAGGGGCTTAGTCCTAGTTTGTCCATCAGGGTCTGTCTATGAGTACACACTGAGGGTAAATATGGCAGAGTTAAAAGAGCAGTCACATATAAAGATATTTTGCCAACAGCAGCATAACTAAAGAGTTACATGTGTCTCTGTTTCAGCCCTCTGAGGTTCTTTGTGTGCATCCTGCCACTCATCTAATGAGCACAGCAGGTGTATAACTAGACCCTGACAAAACTAGAGTCAAAATAAAAGACTGATGGATTTACAGAAAACCCAGCTGTTTTGTCTCATCAGGGCCTTAACTATTCATCCACAACTGCTGGTTGAAAATCATGGCTTCAATAATACCAAGACCACATATCTTTATATTATGTTTACTTCTGTGTCATGTCTCTGTTGTGTATAACTTTGTTCTGTGCTCATGGCATCCTGTTGCCCTGAGAGCTGTGCTTTAGTTTAGCTGCCTGAAATAAATATGCATGACTTCAGCCTGAAGTTTCATCCAAACCTGTAATGTGAGCCTAAAGCAGGAGGTACACGTAAGAAAAACTGCCCTCTGTTCATTCTCGGGAATGTTTTACAGCTTCTATCAAAGGCCCCTTTACATTTTCTGCCAGTATGACGGGTTTGGTTGACGTGTTGAAAACCAGACTCATGAATCATGGCATATGTATGTTTGTATGTATGGGTGTGCACTTGATGCCCTGGGGGTTTGTGCACACTGCCAAGGTTAGAGGCACAGACATGGCTTATGATGAAAGAAGGGCGTACATGCAAACGTTTAAGAGGAGGGTCAGTATCTAGAGTATTTGTGTCTCCCAAGGACATAAGGAACCAGTGTGAGACGGAACAGTGAGGAGCTGTATCGTGGGATAAGTACAGGTTGGACGTAGCAAGAGGTAGTTAAGTGGAAAAGACTAACAGATGCTGGGGCTAGTTTACTCAAGGGGGGAAGGAGCCTCACCACAGCCGGAGCACTGACACCCCCAACACACGCATACATGCACACACACAGTGAAAGAACAACTTCACTTCATCTTAAAAAACAAGTGCAATATCTGGCAAACAGTTTGAATTTCTTTGCATTATTCGGACATTGATGCAGTTTAGACACAAACCTGGACCTCTTTGTAAATAAAACAAATATGAAAGTAGCATTTCTTGAAGAAAGACATATTGCCAACCATATTACGTGCCAATGTTTTAAACATATCTTGTCTTATCTGTCAGTACTCAGTGTTTGGTATGGAGATAACTCTTAGATAGTACTGTCCTAACTTTTAACTCTGTAAAACTGCGCTGTTCTACCCAGATTAATTAAATATGGTGGCCAACTTGAGTCAGGTTGACTCATAAAGGTAATCAGTCAATTAACCTGCCATTCATCTATTATCTTTACCCGCTTCTTCCTTTTTCAGGTCATGGGGGTCACTGGTGCCCACATCCAGCTATCACTGTGCAAGAGGCTGAGGACACCTTTAACAGGTCACAAGTCCATCGCAGGGACACATAGAGACAAACAAGACAAACAACTCTCTCTCCCACCTAGGAACAATTTAGTTACAATCAGCCTAACGTGCATGTTTTTGGTCTGTGGGAGGAAACCGGAGTATCTGTAGAAAACCCACATGTGCACAGAGAGAACATGCAGACTTCACCCAGAAAGATCCCCGGCTGGGATTTGATCTAGTGACCTTTCTCACTGAGACCATCTGAGCCGCCATGCTGCCCATCAATTAACCAATAGGAAATTAATTTTGGGGATGTTAAAGGGTGAAGACAACTTTGAGTTTGAACTCCGACCTCTGAGTACTAATGGCAGCAGCGTGTGTTCTTGTTGCAAATTATAAAACAAGTAGAATTTGCTCTTTGTCACGCTCCTCCATGTCCAGGCTAACTAATCTAGGCAATACAAGCTAGACAAAACTGAATGTTTTCACTGCCCTCAGGCCCAGTCCTCCCTCACAAGAGATCCCAGTGGGATTTGACTGGTTTAATAAAGGTTAATAAAAATAAATAAAGCTGATGAGAATATTTTGTGCTTCTTCTTATGGATTTGAACACTGTAACAATATGCACATTAAGGCCAGTTTTGAACATTCAGTTAGCCCAATTTACCACGACATGCTAATACTAGCACCTATGCTATCAGCTTTGATTTTTATTGCTCGCTTTAACTGGTATGTGCATTTTCACCTGTGTTAGCTCAGACACATTGTCCAAGCACTAACCAATATTATGTGCATAATCATCTATAATGTTTATCACCTGTTTTTTTAACCATAAAGGGATTTTAGTTAAAAGTCTTTGATACTGAAGTTTAGCATCAAAGGCAGCAGGTGATGTGCTCACGTCCTCAAGGACTGCTGTTTTGATTTATTATTGGATATGATTTATCCACAAACTTTAAGAAAATACATTTATGTAAACCTAAAAAAGTTTGAACTCAGTTTAAATTTGAAAGCAGATTTATTTATTACTTATCCTGATGCATGCTCAGTATTTATTACTTATAACTTTAATAACTGACTTTTTATGTATGCAAATGTTTCTGTTCAGTGCCCTGAGACAACTTCTGTTGTGACTTGGCACTACATAAATAAACTGAACTGAATTGAATTTAGCTTATTTATTTAGCAGGGCTCTGAGTTGGACTTTAGCTTTTCAGTCGTGAATCTTGTATTATTTCTGGAAGGAGCAAGTTTCACAGCATGAGATCTGTTTACACAGTGTGTTGGCTACGCTTTTTACTGTTGCTGTTACAAAATGAAGGAACGTAGTGTACACAAAGATTGCATAAATACACAGGATTGTGGAGAAATGGTCTAAAACAGTGATTCTTAAATTGGGTTGGTACCCCACTGTGAGTCAAGAGACAAAATAAAGAATCTTAAGATAATTATATGAAAATGAAGATTAAAAATGATGGTCATTTGTTGCTTTAACTGTTACAAGAAATTAAAAAAACAATAGAGATGAATACAATGGTTGAGCTATTTGTATTCTCATGTCATAATTTGTTAATTTCTCTTTGTTAAAACCAGGTCTCTCTTGTAAATGAGTCCCCGTGGCTCAGTGGGATTAACCTGTCTAAATAAAAGTTGAATGAATGAATAAATAGCTAATTGTAGTTTGGTTGTAGAGTAGCAAAATGCAAATTTGTAAACCAGTCGTCTCTGCTACTGATGCGCTGTGGATCAGATGGTGAACAGTGTGAAAATCACAGCTGCAAGAAATTAAACCAAATAGTTTCTAAAAAAAAAAAAAAGTCAAACATTTTCTACGTATTTATTATTTCAGTATCTAAAATAAATTTCCAGTTAAAGTAATTTAGATTGTACTGTCTAAAATCTTGAGTAAAGTGAAAGTCACCAGATATCAAAAAAACAAACAGCTGAGGCACCAACCAGGACAATGTTTGTGGTATCCAGTTACACAATTTTACAGCCAGACAAATTAAAACCAATATTTTTTTGTGGTAATGGTCCGACTCCAGTAAACTTATGAAAACCACCAGCTTGCCTAATACATTTATAGCTGCTTGTTGTTGTGGCAGTCGTGTATTTTGCTGTGAATGGACTACTTCCTGTTGTACTAAAACTTTATTGTCACCCAGGTTTTTATAAAGACACACACCCATACTTACAAAAAAACAAAAACAAAACAGCATCCACATCTTACTTTTAGATGGGTCACAAAGAGAACATCTGCCAATGTGTTTTATATACAATTACAATAAAACTCACGATAAAACTTAAGGAATCATTTCTGTCCTATCACGCATGACCTCACTCGACACACACACACACACACACATATATATATATATAAAGCACACCCCGTCGCTCTCTGTCTCCCTCTCACACACAAACCACTGGCATACCAGTGAGCCTATATTTAAAACGAGTCCCAGGGATGTTTTTTATTTCAAGCGTTCTATCAAAAGTGGTGCGTGTGGATGGCTGGGTGTAGAAAGGCTGCATCAGGGAGGCTGCTGGTAAACACAGGTATGATAAAATGTAATCACAGCACAGGATGAGCAAAGGGTCAACAACCTTCTACAATAACAGAATGAGTGTTGAGAGAAAAAGAAAACAAAAAAAAGAGCCTGAAAGTGTGATTATATAATGATCTGGCATGACCCAAAAAGTTACAAATTTGCCAGTGCTGCAAAATACCACCTTCCAAACGTGTAGCTGTTCCAAATCGAGCCCCATCATCCATCCCACATCTCATTTTCAAAGCCACTCTTTTCTCCCTCTCTCCTCCCACCACAAATCCCAGAACCTCGAGTAACAGGCAGAGAGAGAGACAGAGGAGACGAGGGGAGTGTTTAAATCTGGCGTTCTGTGAGTGGTCGGGTTGGTGTCTGGAAACCTTTTACATCCTGTTTACGGCGGGCAGATTTCAGCCCGGGACCACAGAGAGCTGGCACGGGGCCTCTGGCCTGGATGCAGCTTATGCCTCTCTTTTTTATCTGCTCCCTGCCTCCTGCGTGTTTGAATGTGCAATCTGCCCCGCCGCCTCCTTCAAATCAACACCTCCAAACCTAAAACAAGCACGTCTGGCCTGCACTGCCCACGGCTGCAGAAAGATGATCACGCCAGAGTCAGACAGACCGAACAACACTTTTTAAAAGTTTTAATACACAAGCACTGGTTTAATAAAGCTATGTCATCATATTTACAGTGTCCTATATCAAATGGAAAACTCCGGACAAATAAAGAAGAGAAGCTTTCATGACTGTGAAGAATAAAACTTTGACTTGTCTCTGCCAAAAGGGATCAAACAAAGCAGAGGCTCCATCTTAAAGGAGCAGTTCGCTGCTTTACTCCTAAATCGTTCTCTTTGCTCCCCTCAGCGGCACTTGCAGGATTTGACGACCATATTGGAGAGCTGCTCAACGCGAGGGGTGCGGCCGATGAAGTACATGATGGTGAGGGGCTCCAGGTCCTGAGGAACACAGCAGGGCGTCGCTGAGGCCTCGGGGTTCAGCTTGTTGTACAAAGGCAGGATCTGACCAAAAGAGACATTTCATTAAAAGTGATCATAATAAAAGTGAATTTTCTGCACCATCCTTTTACTGCGAGTGATGAGATTCTGCCTCAACATGGGGTTTGGCCAAGTCTTTGCATTTTTAGTTCTTATACAACAGAGTTGTGGAGCTGTTTTCGTGCATTGCCAAGCAACTGACTTGTGGTTTGACTTTGTGGGAAACGGTTATATAAGAAAACTTATGGCATTCTCACAACTGTACAGTAAAAATAAAGCTGCAGCCAAAAGTCAGTCAAGATACAGTCCTGATGGAAAGTTGCTGGACTCTATCACATTTACCACATTTTTATTTCATCCTCCTCTTTTTTTATATATATATATATATGAATATACACAACTCAACAGGGACAAAGGAATAAACGTATGATTAATATAACATAAAAAAATCAAATATGCGTGAACTATTTAGACTCTTCTCGTAGTATCTTGTTAAAGCACCTTTGGCAACAATAAAATTTCCAGTTTCACTGGGAATAAACCTAACACGCTGTGACCAAAACCATTCAACTCAAACCAGAGTAAATTAGGAGCATCAAAGTGCAGGCAGTTTAAAGTTTTTCTAGGTTTAGTATCAGATTCTGGGTTTTCTTAAAGCCGCTTTCCTGGAAGTTTGCTCCAGCTTGTTAAAGGAAGTCACTGCAAAGCCATAAAAAGACAAAAATATAAAGTAAGAAACAAAATCTGTATTATATTTTCTTACATCAATGGCTGATGTATCCCTAAATAAAAATTGTGGTAGCAAATGTGATTAATTCTGGACAGTTGTCTTAATCTCTCTTTTCTTTTATGTTTAGCAGGAGATTCACTTTTATATTTCCTCCTAAACTTCTTGGAAACTCCACGTATGTCTTCACCATGTTTGCTCACCTCCACAGACTGCAGTCAGAGTAATGTAGATCAGTCATGTGACTTAAGATTCCACAAGGTTTTAGAGGACTCAGCAAAAGTCTTTGTTTACACTGAGTGCGTACCTGCATTTACAAATTGCATATCAATATATCTGGAAAACTACCAGAGTAAATCCAACAAACTTAAGTCAGGTCATCTGGATGATTTCTTTTTTTTTTTGTTGTTGAGACGTTTCGTCTTTCATCCAAAGGATTTCATCAGTCTGATGACCTGACTTAACTTTGTTGGATTTTTTACCTGGATTATTGAGCATGAACTTTGATGTTTTGAACCACTTTAGCTATGGCTGCCTCAGAATAATCAATGAGGGAGAGGGTGGGCCCCAGAAACCATCTTATCACCAGTAAACTGGTTGGCCCACTATGGGTCAACTGATGAAGTCCTTTGGATGAAGGGCGAAATGTCTCAACAAAAAAAGAAACCATCCTGACTTAACTTTGTTGGATATTTTACCTGGATTATTGAGCATGAACTTTGACACTGTTCTATTTGATATAGTTCAGAAAAACTTTTTTAATGTTTGGCTTTATACTTTGCAACGAGTACCTTCAAGTAGATAAATATACTGCCCATCTTTATTTTACTTTTTTCTGTTGCAGAAAAGATACACAAAATGACAATGTGGCATTATTGTGGTGGTGTTCAGAAGCTGGTTTCCATCACGAACCTTCACAAGTTCTGCCTTTAGATGTTTATCTTGTGCTCTGAGAATCACACAGACGCTTTGACAAACTTTCAGAAATCCTTCATTTAGACTCCACACCAATGATCTGTAACTCTGATGAGTCTGATCATCCGGCTTTGGTTCGACCTTACACCAACAGGTATCAGTCTTTTTTAATGGTTAATTGGACTCTAACCATGATGCACTGGTGTGAATCGATGAAACATCTGCTAGAACTGGGCAAAAGTTACTTTAAGTTGACGTTTCTAAGCTACACAGATATTTTAGAGGGCTCAGCCTCTCTAGGTGGCTCGGTGACGCAGTTAGTAGAGCTGATGCCTCTTAGCAAAAAGGTCACCGGACTGAATCCCAGCTGGGGGCCTTTCTGGGGGCAGTTTGCATGTTCTATCCGTGCGTGGGTTTTCTCCAGGTACTCTGGTTTCTTCCCACAGACCAAAAACATGCATGTTAGGCTGACTGGTGACTCTAAAGCGTGCATGGCTGTGCCTGTGATGAACGTGGACCTGTCCAGGGTGTCCCCCGCCTTTTGCACAGTGATTGCTGGATATGGGCACCAGTGACCCCCCGCGACCCGAAAAACAAGAAGCGGGTAAATATAATTGATGGATGGATGGCTCAACCTGTAACGGTTTTCATTTATTCATTTTTCTCCAGAAACCCATCAGCTGTTAGAAAAAAACTATGTCCAAACAAAGCTATGGATGGAAGGATGAAGCTACATATTGTAAAAAGTAAAAAATCACTTTCGAGCCATGAGTAAATGGCATACATTGGACTTTAAAAACATAGAAAAACCAGTATGTTTTGTCATTGTGGAGAGTTTTGTAGCCAGTCTCTCCACACTTGTTGCTCGTTTTATATTTTCTCTATGTACGGTTCTGATTTTCCAGTCAAGCTACAAAAAAAGAGCAACAATTTCCAAATTATCAGGTTATTTCTTTTATCAAACTTCATCCAATCGCGCCCACGCAGCTGTGATGAGACGGTGTAAATATTATATTTTTTTAGATGAAAGTTTTCTGAACAAATGAATTCCAGTCAAAGAACGTTAAACTGTTGCTACTTCATCTTGTAACGCTTCCAGTCTTTTTTACTTCCACATAAACAAGATGTCTTCATTAAAGTAAAACATTTCACTGTTGGAAACTTCAGTGTCAAATTGAGTAAATGAGAAGATTTGAGAAGTTCTTGACGGGTTTTAATGGTCGTAAAGGCTCCGTGCCCACAGCTGAGGTCCACGAGACGAACACGCCGTGCTGTTTAAACATATATGTTCAGTAACGAACTTCTGAGAAGTGGCAGCCCATTTATGAGTCTGGGGTTAACCAGCATGAGCTAACTGTAGTGTTCAGTCACCACAAACAATGCACTTCAAGCTCATTTAAAGAAAGAAAAAACATCAGCTGTGTTTCTAACAGTCTGCGTATTAAAGTCCCGCTGAGAACTGATTGGAGTTTGGACCAGACCGGAGCGTTTCGCCAGAAAAGACCGAGAAGCTGCTGAGATTTTTCTGACAATCGCAGATGTTTCTGTTTATGTAGTTTGGCTGCGTCTCCACTCTGAGATGTCTGTCAGGGTTTCCACTGAAATTATTCAGCACAAAACATCATGAATCTTCAGATCAGAGGAAAAAATATTTAGGAAAGAAAAAAAAAAACACTCATTTGTCTCCGATTGGCCTCAGTGGAAATGGTTGTGGAAATGTATTTACTTCCAAAAAAAGTTGGCACGCTGCATAAAAACTCTAAATAAAGAAGAAAAAAAATGCAATGACATAAAAATAATTTAAAGTCCATATTTAATCAAACTAGTACAAAAACAATCTGTCAGCTGACGAAACTGAAAAAAAAAAAAACGATTTGGAAATGCATCTTTTAGCGACTCTGTCAACGTTAGAAAAATAGGACAGAGTACAGTTTTAAAGAGTGAAATGTTTTCTGTCGTTTCTAGCTGTTCAGAAACTGCGTGTGAAGAGTCCGACTGCACGAACGTGAAGCTTTTTACAGCTGAGCCAGAGCTGTAACAGCAAGTGGCTTGTCTTGCTGAAACAAAAACACTAAACAAAAAATAACAAGAAGCATAATTGTTACATTTCTAAACTCGGTTATTCACACATTGTGGATTCTTTCTTTCATTTTTTTCCCTGGAGGATTCAGCCTCTCTGGGATGGTTCGATTGTTTTGGAGGAGAATGAAACTCATTTTGGACTTTGTCACGTATGAAAATGGGGACTGAACAAAATCATTTCATTTTTAGCAAAAGTTACATTTCCTTAATGATTACTGTAGATAAACTGATTGTCTAGTGAATGGAATAGGACCGTTTTAAACTTGACACGTTTGACTAGTCACCAGGTAATCTGACTTTCAAAAAGCTCACGTTTGTTTTGGAAAATAAGAGTTACTGATAAGAAGCTAATAACCCCTTTGAGATGTCCTGATTGTAACAGAATGGTCATGGATGATGCATACCTGTTCACAGGTAAATACCAGGTCATGGCGCTCCTAAGGCGTTAAGATCCTCCTGTTCTGATGAAATTGGTGGCTTTATTCTTTCTTGCTGATAAACTCATCAGCAGATCTGGTCACTTGGACCTGTCTCGTCCCAGAGTTCTGCTTTTGTTTTGTCATGAATTGTTAAAAACGTTCGAGCTGGGTCATCCTGCCTCCCTCCACTTTTTGCCACATTTTCTTTCTGGTCACTAAATGCGCCATGTAAGCCAAGTGATAATGACATTTTATTTTTTATTTAGACTGTCAATGCACCACAGTTAAGCAGCTGGTTCATAATATGTTCTTTTTTTTAATGTTCCCTGAATGAAAAAGACTGTTAGGCGTCAAATCTGTTGGGTGTTTAAAAACAAAAGAGGAAATGCAAGAGCTGAAAAAGTCTACTAAAAGTACAGTGATTCTTTTATTTATTTATTTATTTATTTATTTTATTTATTTTACACAGGTATGTCTGCTGCTTACTCCACAGTTCAGGCTTTTTAAAACTGGTGACTCATTAAGTGCACATTTATATTTTAACGTGTGCCACAACAACAACAACAAAAAACAGGATAAACAGCTAAAATTTTGCTTATGAATGAGCTGCACTGTGGTGCAGTTAAATGTTTAATTTAACCAGAAATTATAATCCCTATATGTTGTTATATGTTCTTAGACAGAAACTAGAATTTTGGCTAAAATCAAAATCAGCAAGTTAGAATTGTACAAAAATCTGAATCAGTCTTGGAAACTGTGACGAGTGCATCTCTGATTTATTGCTGACTAAGAAACAATGAAACCAGCATTCTTTCAAGGACTCCATAAGCTAAATCTAAAAAGGTTGAGCAGGTCCTCTGGACGGATTCTTCTTTGTTGAAAGGTTCCACCATAGTTAGTTTAGTATTTGTAAAAATTGTCTGAGTTATAAACATTTTTATATGCGCTAAAGTCTGTTTAGCTGTGGCGTCCACAAGATAGTGGTTTGTGAGTTATGTTGCAAACAAATACACCAACACGCTCGGGCACAGGTAATTACATTATTGCCCTCTGCCATGAAAGGCGTGTGATCATTTAAAACCTGAGCAGGGACTAGATGCAGACTCAGCTCTGTAGACGAGTCATCTGACAGAACGAGCCAGCCCTTGACACTCACCATGTTGTAGTGGTTGTTGACACTCCAGAGGTACGGACAGTTGCCGGCGCAGAAATTGGCTTTGTACCCTTTTGGCTCGTGGATCCACTTCCAGTTGAGGTCACGCCTGAAGTCGATGTAGAGCGAGCGCAGGCAGCAGCCCTGATCCGAGCCTCTGAGACACACAAAAGCAGACATAATGTATTTCAGCTCCAGTCCAGCTCTGTTATGTCTGAGGCGGCCATTCAAATCTGGGTCATGGGAAAATTATACCAGGTTAGCACTGAGAAACCAGCCATCGCAAAGTAATGACTACACGAGGCTGCCAGAGCTTCCCCCTGCAGCGCGAGGTAGTCTAAATAAAACCCGGCACGCCTGCTGGGCTGCACTCTAAACACAGGGTCTCTACTGTCAGTTCTGCCTCACAATAGCCTGAGAAAGTGGGTAAGGATGAGGGGAAAAGGAAATCAACCACAACTATACATCAGCTTTACAGAACTCCAAACCCCGGAGACGTTTCAGGGCTGTCAGTCAAAGAAAACCGCACACGAGCGGCTTGTTTGGCGGTTTACCGGGAGCAGGTTGTGGTGTCTGTGGCGGCCGCCCTCTTCTTTCGGTTCTTCCTGGCTGGGTTGTCCACTCTGTCACTGGGCAGCAGGGTGAGGATGAGGTGCGGCGTCTTGGTGCTGAAGTCTGATTGGCCTTTAACCTGACCTGGCTTTCTCATCTGACGGAGACGCTCATCATCCACACCTACAGAGGGCCCAACGTGACGGTCAGTACGGTCTCAAGTCCTCTAAAATAAAATCATATTCATTATTTCTACAAGAAAGAAAAGGGCTTTGTCTCTTTTTAATATGAAACAGTTTTAGAGCTAACAAAAGATGAATAGATAAAGTTGAGATATTTTAAAATGTTCTAGAAAGATGGTGATTTATTCTTAGTGTGAGTGATGATTCAGTATTCACATGTTTAGTTCCTGATTTTTTTAATTTTCTTTATGTTTATTTTTGCAATCTAATAACTTCTGCATACATTGTGCTATTTTAGTCTGGGTTTGTGGGTCCCAGTAGCTCAGTGGTCTGTGCTGTGGTCTCATAATACTGAGGCTGCAGGTTCGAGCTCAGGTTTGCATCGGAACAGACATCCAGCGTAGAACAATAAAAATATCTTTCATGCGATTTCACTCGCTGTGGGTCGGAGCAACAAAAAAATAATAAAATACATTACAGCCATCAGCTCATTCAAAGGATGGATGCTACGACTTTAGTTTTAATAACTTTTATATATATATATTTTTTTAATATTTAACTTGATTTACAAATATTTTCTCCATACTAACACCTTGCACTTAGCTTTTAGCTAGCTTCTTGCTACTCATAGCTTTTTGCCAGTGTTGCGAAGCTTTAAGTTAGCCTTTTGTCACTTTTTGCTTCAGCATATTTACTTTTTGCTCTTGTTTATGCTACTTTTAGTTTTAGCTACTGTTTCACTTTCAGCTTTTAGCAAGTCTTTGCTACTTTTAGCTAATCTTTTGATATGTTTAGCCTTTAACTGGCTTCATTTTGTTTTTAGCAACTTTTTTAAAGCGTTGAGCTACTCTTTTTTTTTTAACTTATAGCTATCATTTTGGTGTTTCTAGTTTATATCTAAGTTTTTGCTGCTTTTAGCTAGCGTTTTGCCACTTTTAGCTTTTAGCTAGTGCTTCTTTTAGCTGTAACAACTCAGTTTCATCTTGTTCAGCATCATCCAGCACTCAGCGTTCACGCTGCATTTTCACAGAAAATGGTATTTCTTACTGGTATCTTACTGGTTGTAAATACAGAAGTTCTTTGAATGATTCAGTTTGGAAAAACAGTGCTAAATTCTGAAGCAACCCACCTTTGTTTCAGCCCTGCTCAGACTTTAGCTCATCCATTTGATCAAAGTTAAACTTTATTTCACCAAACTGTGGTCATTTAAAAAGCTGTCTAGAACAGGTAAGACAATAACTGTTGATAACTAACAGAACCCCTCTTCAAAACATCTGAACTACCACTTTATTTATTTATTTATTTATTTTTATTTATTTTTTTTATTTATTAATTTATTCATTTCATTTAAAAAACACATATACAGTATACATAAACATATATGTACACATATACATATACATACTGTATATATATATATATATATATACACATACACATATACACACATATACATATATATATATATATATATATATATATATATACATATATACACATATACACATATACATATATACATACACATACACATAAACATACATACAATTTAAAAAAATTATCTAACAAGTGAAAAGAAAAGTGAACATATGTGCAGCCTGTTTTGAATAGGTGGTTAATTTTTACACACCTAAAAGGATTTAACCTATCAGGATGAGACTGTTTAATTCTAAAACCTTTTATAATTTAAACGGTAGTAAACATTCAGAAAAGGAGCAGATAGGAATTTCCTTCTCTGAAAACTTTGTTCTTCTCAGGAGCAGTAGTAGGACTAATTTGTTTCACAGGTTTTAAAGTTTGAGGAGTAAACGGATGAAAACAAAATGAAAGACAGATGCTCTGACGGCCTCTGCAGTTTGTCTGGCTTTTTGACTTTTCTGTCTCTTTCTGAGCCACAGGAGCACAACAAGGCAACACAAGCCCCTGCTTGTCTTACAGCACCATCACAGATTGCAGTTTTCTTTCCAAGATTGAAAAAACTCAACTATATAAAAAAATCTCAGCTTGGCAGGGAGAGCTGAGCGTAAATCCTGAGAGTGCAGTAATTTGAGGGCAACATGAAGCAACACAGGCAGTCTGGTATTAAACAGTATCTCAGTGTGTGGAGGAACAGTTTCACCTTTATTCCTGCACCTTGGTGCACGAGTCTTTCACGAGTAGCTCACATAACACTCTCCTCTTTATGTTCGTGACTTGTGACCTGCAGAATTGCTGGCATCAAAATAAATTAAAGGCCTTGCACACCTTAAATAAATGCCTATAAATAAATCCCATCCTGGTGAACCGTGACTACAAGAGCAGGGCCTTCAGTTAGGATATAAAATTTTGACAACCAGATAAATGATACATATCTTTACTTTAATACAGAGTCACAGTAAGATTACTTCAATTTATATTCAGTTTCACACTCCAGAAGCTCACTGGACAGGAAGTGCTTTCCTCTTTTTTTGTTTCATTAGGCACATCTGACTTATGGTGTCACTTCTTTTACAGTCACCAACAACGACCTGAACTTACCAACCTAACACTAAACAGAACAACCGACAGGGACAACCCACCTGAACACATAACCTGAAAAAGTCCACCGGTTTCTGTTTCAAGTCTACCTAGAATGACATGCAGCTCACCCAGTCTCTGGCGTTCAAGTACAACATGTAATTTCAATGTTTCATACTGAAGTTTAACAATAACCCACAGAACTTACTGTTTTTGTACAATTTCATCACGTAATGAAACAAAATATAACTGTAATATTGAAAATTTCAATTGTAAATCTGAATGGGATATTTAATCTTAATCTTTTCAAACAAACTACAACACCTGCAAGGCCTTCTTGAAGGCTCAGAGCCCCGTGTTTTGGTCCCACCCACTCTACATCAACATTGTGAATGGTTAATTTTCCAATCAGGTATAAAATAAACTTGACCTGGAGAGTCTGACTGAGCTGCACCTTCTCTGAAGACAGTGAAGTCCTAACCAATGACAAAGAACTTTAAAACATGTTTCTGTAAGGAGACGCACATTAAAATAATCTGATTGGATGTTTTCCCGATTAAATTTATTGCTAAACTACAAAGTAGCTGACAGAAAATTACAGACAATAGCAAAAAATAAAACAAAATTACAATGAATATATATATATATATATATATGTATGTGTGTGTGTGTGTGTGAAGGTGTTTTAAACCCTTCCCACACTCTTGCAATATTTTAAACAATGTTTCTAAACTCTAATTGCTCTAAAATAGCACAGAATGTCATGAACTCAGCTCTCTGCCACCTGCTGCTCTTGGCCACGCCCACTCCTCTGCTGCAGAGAGGCGATCAGCCGATCAGCTGCAGGAGGATGCTTTATCTGCAGCTGTGGGCAGCACACAGGTGCTAAATAATTTAAAATAATTTATTTTAAATAAAAATTCCATGCAGCTCATCCATCAGTCAGCCAATTGTGTGTCATGTCCAATTTTATTTTGAAAAACCGCGATAAAGCGAGTCCACGAAAAACAAAACGCAAAGTAGTGAGGGACTACTGTTTATATATTTCATAAAATACAATGTTCAATAAAAGTTTAATTATAACATTTCATATGTGCTGAATTCTTAGGCCTTCTCTGAAGGCATAGAAGGCCGTAACAGTTCCCTACCGATATCAAAACATGTCGCATTCATAGTATGTGTTGTGAATGACTCTTGGCTACTACAACACGCAATTATAGGTCAATATCTGTGATATTGATGAAGTTTTAATAATTCTGGTTTGCTAAAGTCACATAGCTGTGGCAGCCATCTCAAATGGGGTTGACTCCAAAAGTTAACCAGATGTAGAGGCACATCCAGCAATTTCTTTCTGCAAGTTTTATAAAAAAATTATTGAGTCAATTTCAGGATGTTTTGGTAACAGACACACAAACACAAATTGGCAAAAACATTGTCTACCTTTTGTCTTCTGCAGTGGGAGACGATAACTCATTTACCACTGAAGGTTGAGATCAGCTCTTAAGATCTCGTAGTCGTGTTTATGTATGTGCTGCGGTTATCTTGACAGCTAAATTTTATTTTGACATGCAGCTCTGACTAATTTAGAGCAGCTGAACACAATCGGCCAACATCAAGAGTCTTCAGAAAACACAAATCATTCAGTGAGGCGGAAACGTTCCAAACACTGATTAAAACATGAGAACAAAACCAGCAGCGACTAACCAGCAAACAGCGCCTCCAGCTCCTCACTTTTGTTGGGAACTATGTTGTTGGTGGACGGGACGAAGGTGCAGCAGGGACAGTGGACGCCCAGCTTCAGGCCAAGGTTGTTCTCTGGAGAGAGAAAAGAACACATGAGCTGAACCGCTCAAACCCAGCTGTGTGAGTAACGACATGGGAAAATGGCTCGGATCCAGACCTGGATCTGACACCCAGTCTTTAACAGTTTCTGTGACGTCCACAGAAATCCAGATCCCCTTGGCTCGGGGCTGAACGGTGCGGGAGTCGATGTAGCGCTGAGTGGAGGTGCTCTCTTCCTCTGGTCTCAGCAGCTGATAGGACAAACAGTTTTACCAGTTTAGGCCCAACAAACATTTGGTGATTTTTTTTGTTTAAAAAAAAAAAAACGTCTTCAAGTGGTCCAAATGAGTTAAAGTGTGAGCGCTGGCTCAGCTTCACACTTTTTAGTTTTATTGTTGCTTTTCTTTTTGCAGTCTAACTACTTCTGAGCACTTAATGCTAGTTTAACCCTTATAAATTTAAATGTTCAGTTCATTCAGGAAATTGTTTTTTGTAATTTTTATAAATTTCAAAATATTTCTTTTCCACATAGAATAAATTGTGATGTCTTCAATTCCTAAAAGAAAAAAAACTGTCCTCTGAAATCAGCTGCAGGTTTGTTCTACTTTTGTCTTTTTTTTGTTGCTACTTTTAGCTTTTAGCAAGGCTTTAGCTATTTTTAGGTAGTCTTTTGGTACTTACAACTTTTATCTAATCTTTAGCTTCTTGTCATCTAGCATTTTACCACTTTTAGCTATCCTTTTGCTATTCTTAGCTTATACCATTTAGCTATTTTTAGCTTTTACCAAGTGTTTAACTTATTTTATTTAGTGTTTTCTTCCTTTTGAGATACACTTTAGCTATTTTTACCAAGTGTTTTACTGATTTTATTTAGTTATTTTTTTCTCTTTTAGCTACTGTTTTCTTTGACTAGCATTTTGATACTTTTAGCTTTTAGAAAGACTTTTGCTATTTTAGGTAGCTTTATGGTACTTGTAATTTTTGTGCAATCTTTAACTTCTTTTCATCTAGCATTTAAATACTTTTAGCTATATCCTTTTGCTAATCTTAGCTTCTAACTTAGCTTTTAGATTGTGTTTAACTTGGTGTTTTCTTCCTTTTATCTACTGTTTTCTTTGGCTAGCATTTTGCTATCTTTGGCTTTTGCTTAGTGTTTTACTAATTTTATTTAGTGTTTTCTTCCTTTTAGCTACAGTTTTTTTGGCTAGCATTTTGCTACTTTTGGCTTTTAGCTAGCCTTTTTGCTATTTTAGCTAGAACTTGCTAATTTTATCTAGCTGTGGCTCCTTGTAGCTAGTGTTTTGTTACTATTAACTTTTAGCTCTCCTTTTGCTACTTTTATTGTATTGGTGTTTTGATCATTTTAGTTCGTATTTTGCTACTTTTGTCTAACATTCTGCTCCTTTTTGCTTCTAATTAGTATGTTTTGATTTTTTCCCTAGCATTTGATCATTTTAACTTTTAGCTAAGACTTAGCATCTTTTAACTTTAAGCTAGTGTTCAGCGTCTTTTAGCTTTTGGCTTGTTCATCAAATTTAAGCATTATCATTCAATACTCAGCATTCACAGACTTTTCACAGAAACTCTTAATTCCTACAGTTACAATAACACAACTTTTATTATGAGGCACTTATAAAAAAAACAAAGAAGGGCTGTGCACTAATAAAGGAAGTAAAGCATTTTTATTTTCTAATTACCTGAAAGAGCTCCACTCTCTGCTCCGAGGCCCCGGCCTGTGGGTTGGGGGCTCTGAAGATCCTGAACTCAGCCTTGACCAGGGTGCTGTTGATCAGGTCCACCTCGCTGACGTCGAAGTGGACGACTCTGTAGTAAGGGCTGGGTGCTGCTGGCTGCACGGCGTCTGGACGGAAGAGAAATCAGAAAAACAAAAAACAGATGAGAAGCAGTCCAATAAAACCCTGCTCCTCTTCAGACTGTGGGACTGAGGCATTGTCTCGGACATAATTACTCATGATGAGCGTCTCTGAACTAAATTACAGGCTGGAGCAGAAATGTGTTGGCTCTCATGTTGGACGTATGGCTGACTGATGGCTTTTACTGCATGAAGAATCACCTTCAGTTATATAATTATGGCATCTAACACCAATACCCTCAAATTTCCAACACAAGATCTGTCAAAACCAAGTGTCAGCTGCCACCACAGAACTCACAGAGCCTTGCTCAGGGGTTCCTCCTCTCTGGCAGCAGAGGGCACATGTCTTAATTTAACAATAAATACATGTCTTCTTGTGTAAAATATGCCTTTAAAGTCTAAGCTGTTGACAAGTACTTTTCATTTTTACTCATAGGCCACTTAAAATGTTTTACATATAAGTGACAGCTTTTCAACATAAACAGAGGTCATAGGTCAAATGAGTGTATTAGGATTGACACCTAAGAAATTAATACTTTTACCACAGCTGATGTGCTCAGCAGTCATATAAAAACTTTCATGTAGATTGTTTTAAATTAATTTTATAGGAATCAACACAACGCCTAAAAGAGAGCAGTTTCTGTTCTTTGTATTAAAACATATTTTGTGAAAGGCAAGACTTAAAGAGTCACGGTTAAAGGACTTAAATCAAAACCACATAGTGACATCATACACAGGGCTGTGCAAAAATATTGAGTCATGCCTCTTAAGAAATTTGAATAGTTTTTCAGGCTTTTATGTCTTCTAGGTTTTATTAATGACATCCTGTTTTTCCTGACATTTGTGATGGTGTGGTTTTAGCTCATGTTGAACTCAGGTTCATTCAGCTTTTTACAGTTTCTGTTTACCAGTTGTCACTGGTTCAGCAGTTGAACAGTGAGAATCCAGTCCTGCTTGTCACTGTTCAGGAACGGGTTTGATTTACAGCTGTTTTAGTCGCTCTGCTCTTTTTCAAATTATTTCTGATATTGCTCCCTTCAGCTTCTTTCTGTTGATTTCAGTGGGTTGTTGTTCTTGCCTTGCTGAACTTTCAACTGTTTTTCTACTATTTTACTTTTTTTTTTTTTGCTATAACCTTTTCTGTGATCATTTCGACTCATTTTTGTTTAATTCAGCAAACTGTCTCATTTCAGCATTTTCTTATGTTTCATGTATTTTTCCACTAATGTCAGTTTTCTTGATCCATTATGGCTCTTTCAGCTTCAAGACATTCATTTTTGGATAATTTAGGCTACAATTTGGTGTGGTAGTAACAGAGAGTGATCCTCAACCTATACTGAAGGCTAAATAATAATTCAATATGGCCACCAGAGATAACACATGCTGTCCAGCAGTCCACAGACAATTTTTTGTCCAAGCTCTGAATTTGCAGCCATGTAATGTAGGAATGTCCATCTTCCCCGCTGGACACCTCATGTGTCAGCAACGCTCTCTATGGTTTTTAGGGGTCATGTATTCATCTTTAAGATATCGTTTCCTTATTTGTTGCTAATATTTTGCTACATCTGGCTCTTAGCTTGTTTTTTTTTTCTTTTCATTTTGATCAACCAGCAGCCAGTCGCAAAGACATGTCTTCCCATCATTTTTATCAGATTTATGAAAAATACCTGTTTGACAGAAAAAAAATGTATTTTAGAACCAGGTGATTCTCAAAGAGCTGAAAACTTAAACAGTTCCCTCCAAAAAGGTAAAAACGTTTTAATTACACAACTATTTTAACTTAAATTCACTGCTTTTACCTTTCTTTTATTTGTTAAAAATAGATTTAGTTATTAACAATAACTTGAGCTACTATAGCAACTAAATATTGCTAAATAAATAAAACTTTATCTTAAATGTACCATACTTTTTACTGAATAAAAACCATCTCAAGATGTTTTCTGAGGCCATGGGCCACTGTTTTTTGACAAACTTTGAGTTATTTAGATACATGAGCTTTTTGGACATTTGCAAATTTTTTGAATCCATTACGACGCATGACCTATTTGACGAGGAAAACATTTCTAATGACTGTTAACATAACATTTCATAAAATGTTATTTTTAGAGTGTAGAAGTTAGAGGACGCTACATTTTTCAGGTCTTTCTCGTTTTCATTTTCTTAACTTCATCTGCTGTAAATTGTTTTGTGTTTTAAGCATGGCATGTCTTCTTTGATCTTTATTTATTTGTTTATTTTATCTATATTTTCTCCTTTTTAATTCCATACCTGTCATGAGCAAGTAGCCTAGACTGAACTGAAAATGAGTGAAAAAGCAGCCAAAGTCCAAAGACAAACCAAGATCTTCAGAAACCCTGAAGAACCTTTAAACAGGAGTGGCAACAATAAAGAAATGGTTAAAGACTTTTGCACAGTGGTGCAAGATTCGTGTCCCAGAACTTCCGGTTGGGCCACTTGGGGGACCGCGGATCACATGTTGAGAATCCCTGTAACTCACTTGAGTCAGTGCGGGGGGGCAGCATGTCGATTCTCTGCACCTCTTTGGCGTAATAGTCCTCCTCGCTGCTCTCGCGCTCGCACGCGGACTCGGCGAGCCGCGCGCGCTCCTTCAGCAGCTCGCGCGTGCTGTTATAGAGCAGCATGACCTCCGCGGGCACGGAGCCGGGCGGCGGGTCGTCGTCATCGTCGTCCGGCGGGCTGCGGATGCGCAGCTTGCTGAGGATCTGCCCGCGGACCGCCTCGATGCGCCGCGACTTCTGCGCCTCCAGGTTGATGGACTGGCACGTGTTGATCCCCTCCACCAGCGGGACCCCGGAGAACCGGAGCAACAGCAGCAGCGGGAGGCCGGGGAGCCACATGGTCCGGGAGTGGGAGAGAGGAGGATCCGCGGAAAACTCTCCAAACAAAGCGCAAAGAGACGTGCGCGTAAAGTGGCTCAGAAAGTCACTCTGAGGGCTGTGCCTCCAAATGTCCACTTCTAATGAGTTATATTGATCAAAACCAACTCATGTGGAAATATAAAAAAAACATGTCTTCTTCTGCTTTGGTCGATTTAAAACACTTGCACGCGCCAAGCTGGACAGAAAATAAAGGACGCACTCATTGTTAGTCGTTAAGGTTTACACTTAAGTTAGTAAAAATAACAAAAACACAAATAAAAAAAAATCTTTTCAAATGTTTTCTTCTTCTGTCAGACTCTGGTGAGTCACAAGCTTCTGTAAGTTGTGCGCGCCGCTTCCTGCGTAAAAACGCGGAATTCTCTAAAATTCTGACCAAAGGAAATCAAAGCGGTATCCGTTTCTCCCTCCGATCGTCCATCCTCGCAAATCTGAGCAGCTTTCAGGAGAGCAGAGTCATCACAGGAGCTCAGCCCATGTCGCAAATCCTCCATACAAGAATCTGAGCTGCGCACTTTAGCAGAGGCAGCGCAGCGGCTGCGCTTTGGCTCCTGAAAGACGCAACTGTGCGGCAAACAACAGACCCATATCCACATCCAGAAATACAGCTGGAAAACACACACATATATTTATAAGAAAGCTGTTTGCACTAAAATATTGGTGGAAAAAAATGTTTAAGGTGGGAGAAACATGGCGAGGTCCATCCAGTCTCTCTATCAAAAGTTAAAAAAAAAAAACTAGAAGAAAGTCTTTGTTTTGTGAATTCCTGCTTCAAACGAGCTTGATGTGTGCCGGGCTGAAAGCTCTGGGACCTGCTGCACGATGTGCCGCCATTACTCTGCAGAGCCTCAGTGAGAAGCAGCTCTGGACTGAGAGCCTCAGAGGGAGAAGGAGGAGGTGATGGGACTGCGTGTGTGTGTCCTCTCAGCAGAAGAGGTATACGCACACACAGAGCTACACATTTTGCATTTATTACCCACAAAAATGCTGCACCGCCTTTTTTCCCTCCTCAGGTAAACATCTCCACAGGCCTGACGTGCCGGAGTTACCATAATCTGTGAGTCACATCCAGTGGGACCACAGGATTATTACAGTGGTCGATGCTTTCAGCACTGAAAAGGCTTTGAAGCAGCTGAGAAACTATATTTATCTGCTGCTTATTCTGTTAAATATAAGTAAGGTCACTGAGTTTACGCCTGAAAGTCTACTGAACATTTGCTTGGCCTTAAGAAAAAAAAGTTACTAACCTGCTGGGAAAGAAAACAATTATATACTTTTAATTGTTACAACAATATTTAGTTGGTCCACCAAGTCTGACCAAGTCAAGATATAAAAAAAACAATTTCTCCATGAGGAAAGCTCTATTTAGCAAGGGCAGAGTTATGGGTTGTCAAGTTGCAACTTCAAAAGATTTTAAACACAAAAACTTGATTTTTAGTTTCCGTAATAGGGTATCCAATCCTGGACCTTGAGGGCCTGCAAGTTTCATTTATTTTCTGGCTCCAACACCCGGTTCTTCTTTTTTCGAGTGTATACATAGTCCACCTCTCCAAGTTCTCTTCCACCTGTTCCCTGTTCTCACCAGAGATCACATAATCTGCAAACATCATAGCCCACGGGGATTCCTACCTGACCTCACGTTAGTCGGCCCATCAACAAAGCAAACAAGAAGGGGTTCAGAACCTTGATGCACTCCCACCTCCACCTTGAAGCTATGCCTGACACTCCTACAGCACATCTCTCCACTGTCCTGCTGTCCTCATACATGTCCTGTACCAGTCTAACATACTTCTATGTCACTCCATGTTTTCTCATGCAATACCACACCTCCTCCCTCGGCACTCTGTCATATGCTTTTTCAAATCTACAAAGACACAATGGAGTTCTTTCTGACCCTCTCTGTACTTCTCCATCAGCATTCTCAAAGCAAAGATGGCATCTGTGGTGCTCTTTCTTGGCATGAAACCATACTGCTGCTCACAGATAGTCACCTCTCGTCTAGCTTCCACAACTCTCTCCCAGATCTTCATTGTGTGACTCATCAACTTAACTCCCCTGTAGTTGCTGCAACTCTGTACATCAACCTTGTTCTTAAAAATGGGCACCAGCACACTTCTTCTCCATTCCTGAGGCATTTTCTCACCCTCAAATATTCTATTGAATGTTTCACTCAAATATTCTATTGAATATTTGAGTGAAACACCTCACTGCCATCTCGCAAAGACATTTTCAAATCTCCACTATGTCATCGGGTCCTACTGTCTTCCCCTTCTTCATTCTTTTCAGAGCTTTCCAAATTGCATCTTCACTAATCTTTCCCACAGTTTATACGACCTCTTTTTTCACTTTCATTCTCTTCTTTCATTAGCTCCTCAAAATACTCCTTCCATCTTCCCGTCACACGCTCCTCACTTGTTAGAACATTACGTTCCTATATTTAACAAACCTAACCTGTTGCACATCCTTTCCAGCCTGATCCCTCTGTCTTACCAATCGGTACAAGTCCTTCTCACCCTCTTTAATGTCCAGCCTCCCATACATCTCTTCATATGCCTTCTGCTTTGCTCTACGTTTCATCTCCTTAAATTCCTGTCTCCTCTCTTCAGTCCTCTCAATGTCATATCTCTTCTTGGCTAACCTCTTTCTCTGAATAGCTTCCTGCACTTCACTATTCCACCACAAGGTTTCCTTATCATATATTCTCTGTCCAGATGACACACCAAGTACCTTCCTACCTGTCTCTCTAATTACTGTTGCTGTAGTAGCCCAGTCATCTGGAAGCTCTTTATTACCACCCAGAGCCTTTAACAGCTCCTCTCTGTCTGAACTCCTAACAACATTCTTCTTTCCTCAGCTTCCACCATTTGATCTTCTCTGATTTTACTCTTTTTCACAACAGTCCTACACACAATCATCCGATACTGTCTGGCTACACTCTCCCCTGTTACAAACTTATAGTCCCCAATCTCCCTCAGGTTTCTTCTACACATAATGTAATCTACCTGCATACTAACCACAACAACCATATTGTTAGGCTGATGGTCCTCCTTTTGCATGTGAACAACTGGTTCTGGCTGTCAGCAGTAAACTGGTTGGTCCACTATGACAAGGTGCTATTTATAAGTCTTGTTTCAGACTTGTGGATAAAAGATGAAACTTTTCAACAAGAATCTTGTCCTGGCAAGGACCAATGCAGACATGTTCCCGTTTTTAGTTTTCTACATTTGCCTTATAATCTGGCTGTTTTTTGTTACTTTTTTTTTTGCCATTTTATTTGTAAAAAAAAAATAAAATCTGTATGCCCTTTTATAACAGTCTATTGTTGTCGCCGTTGTCCATTGTTTTCATCGTTCTTTGTTGAAATCAGGTCTCCCTTGTAAATGAGTCCCTGAGGCTCAATGGGATTTACCTGTCTAAATAAAGGTTGAATGAATGAAAAATCTGTCCAGAGGGCCTGACTTAACTTTGTTAGATACCTGCGTACTCCTTCCTCCACTCTTGTAGGTCACTCTATGTTCTTATCTCTTTTGTAAATAAGTGTTGACTACAGCCATTTCCATTCTTTTGGAAAAATCTTGCCAAGATTTACAAGGTTTACTCTTGTAAATGAGTCCACGAGGCTCAATGAGATTAACCTGTATAAATAAAGGTTGAATGAAAAATAAAAAATCTATCACCATCTGTCCTTCCTGGTTTCTTCCCTTGACACCAAACCTACCCATCACTCCCAGTTTCCTTGACAAATAAGTCCATTCAAGTCTGCTCCGATCACCATTCTCTCCTCCCTGGAAATGTTCCATCATTCCATCAAAGTACTTCCAAGATTGATCTTTCTTCTCTACGTCACATCCAACCTGTGGTGCATAACCACTTACAACATTTAGCATCAGACCTTCTACTTCTACCTTCAGGCACATCATCCTATCTGACACTCTTTTCACCTCTACTACATTCTTTGCCAACTCGTCCTTCAAGATAGAACTTTATTGATCCCGCAGCAAATTGTTCAAGAAATTCAAGGAGTTGGTTCTGACTCGACAACCGTGTAATGTAGGAATGTCAACCTTTACAGTGGGACACCTCGTGGGTCAGCAATGATGCCGATCAATTTAAGGGTCATGGGGTTAAAGGTCAGGGTCACAAGTCACCCCTTTCTATTGCTATAATTCAATAACCATTTAACATAGAAATATCAAAATTCACAGCTTGACACCTTGATCAACAGTTGTTTCTACTGATTTCAAGGTCATGGGGTCAAATGTCAAAGTCATAAATTAAGGTCAAAAGTCACTCCTTTAAATACCTCTAACTTGATAACAATTTAAGGAATGTCAAAATTCACAACTGGACTGTGGGTAAAAGAAGATCCCTTTTGATTTTTAAGGTCATGGTTCAAAGGTCAAGGTTTCTTTAAATAGCTCTAAATGGGGAACCCTTTCACAAAGAAATCTCAAACTTAGCAGCTGGACACCATGTGTCAACAATGCTCTACTGATTTTATGGTTAAATTTAAATACTAACTAGCTTTTTGCTGGTGTTTCGCGTCTTCAGTCTCTAAACTAGCATTTTATGCTATTTTGCTAGCCTTTCACTACTTCTCTGTCCCTAAGCGATCTTTTTCTTGCTGTTTGCTAGCGTTTCTGCAAATCATTAAACTAGTTTTGGCTACATTTTCAACAGTTCATATTAAACGAGTAGTGACAGTTGAAAATTTACAGCTTAGTTTCAGCTTCTTCAGCAGCTTTCAGCAGAATTATTCAGCGACAGGCATTTTACATTAACTTTTGCAGGAAATGTTATTTTTTCTAGTTTAATTTTTGTTCCTCTTCTCCTTTAACTTCATCTGAAAAAAGCATGAAATCATTTTAAATTGTGCCTTTTGCTGAATTGAATTAAAACAAAATTAAAACCAAAGAATGCTTAATGACGGCTGATATTTACTGAAGGATTTAAAACAGAGTAAAGGAGCAAAACACTAACTAAAAATGTAAACCATTAGCTTAAAGCAATGATGCATCTTCCTTTGTTCATTTATTATCATTTTTTTCAGCTACAAGATCTTTGGGAATTATCTTGTTGGCATTAAAATACAATATTAAATCTGTCAAATAGTGGTATATTTTATAAATTCAATTAAAGAAATGAAAACTAACTATGTATGACAAGGTGGTCATTGCAATGTGCTAAAAGATTAAATTTAATTAATGATTAATTAGTGGTTATATTTTTAATTTAATGATGTCAAGTAAAGCAGGGGGTTCATCTTAATATGGTAAGGTAGTGGAGTGAAAAAAGCTGCCAAAATCCAAATAAAAAAGCAGAAAGACATAATTCTCAAGGTTTTGAATGACCAATAGAAAAGATTACAAGAAAGTCAGGCTCAGTAGAAGCAAAATATGAAGAAAGTCTTAACTTAAAACTTTTTCAATTCTTTCTGTACACCCATTCTTAAAATGTGACATGTTTGTGCCCTGCTGTTGAGTCACATTGGGCTTTTCCTGTTTGATTTGTGAATTCTTTAACCCCCCCCCCCCCCCCCCGCCGGGGGGGGGGGGGGATTAACAATGTATCTATCTACTGAATGCTGATGTCAACTTTTTAAATAAATGTCTAATTGCCGTCTTCTGCTACATAAAACAAACCTGAATCATTAATATAATGGGTTTCAGTCTCCAAGCTCAGCTTCAACTAAAGGTTTTATTAGAATCCTCCAAAGCAGCCCATCCCTTATTTATCTTTAGCTTTTCGAGCTTTCAGCAGAGCTCCTTTCTTTTCTGTCTGTTCCTCCTCAGTCTCATTGTTAATTACAGCTCAGCACTTGTGGAGGACTATTAATCTGCCAGGGGTGGCTTTTATTGCTGCTCTGCTGCCATCACATTATGCCGTTATTATAGCTGCGGGTGCAGGCCTGTAATTGCTGTAAGTAGAAGGGAAAGGTAGGAGAGACTCAGGCAGCCTTGAGGCTTCTGGTCAGGCCAACCCTTCCTTTCATCGTCTGTCCTGGCACAGTTTCTAAAAATGATAATGCAGCCTGCGAACGACACGGCTCCCGTTCAAACCTGACTGCTGCCGTTTCAACTCAGATGGACAGAAAGGATCAGAAAAGGAGCTTCATTCATCACCGTGGGCCTCATCGCTGTCAGCAACTTCAGCAGGATCAAAAAAAATTGTGGGGCATCTTAACAGATCCCTCCAAGGTGGGGTGTGAGCTGTAATGTGTGGCTTTAAGGAGAAGGGAAAAAAAAGAGACTTCCTTAAAAACAACTTGCAGCCCGCCTTTTTTTTTTTTTTTGTGCCTCTTTTTCCTCAAAGCCAAATTTAGACGAGCCACTGCCACGTCATCTAACCCTGAGAAGGCGAGATGGTGTTCAGAGCAGGCCCCTCAAGCATTTCAGCATAGCTTTAATATAAGTCAGTCTATTTTCTTCATGAAAACCTGATAAGTGTCAGTCAGGACAGTTTGGACAGTTTTATTGAGAAAGAAAAAAAGCTCAGTTACAAAAATAAATACAGATAAAACCACTGAGGGTTAGTCCTGGGGGATATTTCCACTTGTTATTCTTCAAATCATTTCCAGCCACTGGCAACATGAGCCCCTTCAAATATAACAACAATAAAGTAGATATCATGGTCTATTATTTATGGCAACAACTTAAATCAGAGTCCAGCCTCTCTTGAATACAAACGATCTTGTCTGGATGACAGTTTGGGGCGTTTTTGTATAAGAACCGCAGTGAAATGCCGTCTACACCTCATCTTCATTCAGCAGCATGTTGGGGATTCCTCTGGAGATGGGAAACTCTCGTCCTGATTCAGGACACTGCAGACATCCCTCTAACACCTCCACCTGCAACACAGACAGAAATGCAACATGAGCAGACACTATGAAAATAAACTCCGCAAATCTAGGTATTAAGGGTGTTACCCAAGTCATGGTTTGGTACAACAAGAGAGAGAAACAAATTTCAAATGCGACAGTTTGTTTTTCAGACAGTAACTCTCACAGAAACAGAGACAAAAACAAACAAACAAACATCCATCCATCCATCCATCCATCCATCCATCCATCCCTCCCTCCCTCCCTCCCTCCCTCCCTCCCTCCCTCCCTCCCTCCCGGCCAACTGAGCCATAGTCTGTCCAGCGTGTCCTGGGTTGTTCCCAGGGTCCCCTACCAGTTGGACATGCCCGAAGCACCTCCCTAGGGAGGTACCCAGGGAGCATTCTTACCAGATGCTTGAACCACCTCAACTGGCTCGTCTCAATGTGGAGGAGCAGCGGTTCTTTTCCCGAGTTTCTCCCTGATAACTGAACTTCTCACCCTATCACTAAGGGAGAGTCCAGCTACCCTGCAGATGAAACTCATTTCAACTGCCTGTATCCACGATCTCGTTCTTTCAGTCACTGCCCAGAGTTCATAGACACAAGTGAGGGTAGGAACGTAGACCGACCGGTAAACAGAGTGCTTCGTCTTACAGCTCAGTTCCCTCTTCACCACAACGGACTGGCACAAAGTCCACAATACTGCAGACGCCACACCAATATGTCAATCTCATGCGCCGTTCTTCCTTCACTTGTGAACAAAACCCTGAGATACTTGAACTCCTCCACTTGAGGCAGAACCTCACCCTCGACTTGAAGAGAGAAATCCACCCTTTTCTGACTGAGGACCCTGAGGGAGGATTTATCAACAGGTAAAGTCACTACGAAATAAAAAAAGTTATACTCTACCGTCATGTTTTAGGACAGTACATTATTTCTTCTTCTTGTATATCTTAATCAAACCAACCAATAGGGAGCACAAGCCAGTGCATCTATTTTGCTGGTCCCAAGCGCAGGTAAATGGTGAGGGTTGTGTCAGGAAGGGCATCGGACATAAAACACTTATGACAAAACTAACATGCAAGTTCATCAATGTGACAATGACTTGCTGTGGCAAAACCTGAAAAGGGAAACGCCAAAAGAAGAAGTTGTATATCTCAATGGTACTACTGGTAACTACACTAGCCATGTTTACATGTTGGACATAAGTAACCGGATCAAACGGCCGTTAAAATAAAAACGCGTCATGTAAACACCCTGTTCGGGTTTTTGTTTATTCAGCGTGATCTGAAATAATTTGTGATCAGAACAAAACGGGTGGTTTACGCCGATTCATAACCCGAACGGTGCGCATGTAAACACTTGATCTGTTCGTTTTTATCTGATGGTGACAAACTGACGTGACTGCGCATGTGCGACTTTGCCATTTCCTCCTGGCTCATGCTAATAATATTAGCATGTCGGGGAAGCAAAACTGGTCGGTGGGCGACACAACATTTCTACCAGAAACTTTAAGAGCTCAAAATGATCTGTATTACTTACAGTTCAGTCAGGGAGTGCAGAAACGTCTCCACCGTCATTAAAACCTGTTGCGGGTGCATTTTGGGCACGCAGTTGTGTTTACGTTCATCCCGGAAGTAAACCGGAAGTAGAATTTCTTCTTCTGTGTTTTTTTTTTTAGGAGAGTTTACCACTTTGCGCATGTCAGTACTTCAGTTCAGAACAAAGCCCGCTGCATGTAAACGCTCGTCATGAACAGATTGTGCCCATGTAAACAATACATTTGAATTATTTAATCTGAAAACATTTCAATCCAGTCAAAAAATGTTGTGCATGTAAACATAGCTACTGAGATTACTTTAACTAGAGAGGACCAGAAGCTGGAAGCTGAGGCTACCTTGGACGAGCCTGCTGGACTGTTTGTTGCACAGCTTTTAAGTCCTGCTCTTCATGTGAACTATAAAATAAAAAATACACTTCAGGAAATTTATTTTCAGCTGTTGATTAATGTAGCTCTTACCGCACTATTGCATGTTCAAATAATAATTTTTAAAATATATTTCAACTCCCGGTACCGTCAACATCAAAATGTGGGTGGAAAAGGTGAAACACCCACACCTGCATTCACCCTCATTCGTCCCACTCTGGGCCCCTGAGCAAGGCCCTTAACCCCCACCATCTGCTCCTAAACAGGTCTCTCTTGAAAATGAGATCTTGTGACTCAATGAGACTACCTGTATAAATAAAGGGTAAATGAAAAAAAAAAATTAATTAGTTATTTAGGGCTTTAAGAAAAGTCTTGTTACACCGATTGACTGTGTGCCACAACTTATTAGCAGGGCCGCCACAGCGAACTAAGTCACACAAAGACTTGGCAATTGTTTTTACGCTGGATGTCCTTCCTGACGCAACCACAGACCACCGAGCTACCATAGCCGTCCGTGTGGAGCAGAGAGCTGTTATCTAGGGCACCCGGAGGAGCAGATGGTGGGGGTTAGGGCCTTACTCAAAGGCCCAGAGTGGGGCAAATGAGGGTGGAGGCAGGCGTGGGTCCCATCCACATTTTGATGTCGTCAGTACCGGGAGTTGAACCGATGATCTTCTGATCACAGCTCCACCTTCTCTAACCTCTGTGTCACCATTCCCTAATAATAATTAATAATTATAATAATAATTACTTGAAAGAACCTTACATATGTAATTACCAGACTATAATTTTAAATGTGCATTCTTAGACCTGAGAAGTATTCATTCGGGTCAATCCAACTCCTGACAGATTAAAAGTTTGTTGATATTCAACCAGTGCAGGTTGTTTTGTACGCAGCTCTTCAAAGAGCCAACAGCATGAAGCTTTCAGGGATGATGCTATTCATAGGTCAAACACTGACCGGATGAAAGGTCATTTAGGTCGGGAGGGGACCATCATCAATCTCATCACAAAGAGAACAAGGCATGAAAAAAGATCAGTGAGCCTCCTCTCTGGCTTGGGAATGCTGTGGGATCCTCAGGAGGCGCTGGAGTGTGATGCTGGGGAGAGAGATGTCTGGGTTCCCTCCTGGATCTGTTGTCTGTGCAGCCCGACCACGGATTAGCAGCAAAAGATGAAACTAGTGACAAATAGCTCCACCACGCAATCTAAATTATTTTTAACACTCTGTTTTACTCCACAATCAGACAGAGATTTATTTACGGCAGCAGAGCAAATAAAACTGCATAAAGGACCAAATTCAAACCCTTACTTTTCCTAATGCTGATTACATGAATCAAACGAGTCATGAATGAGTCAGATATTCCAAACAAAAGTTTTGCACACATTTAGGACAAAAACACTAAACATAGAGTTTTAAAGTGTCCAAGTGGACGACATGAGGTTTAGTGTCTCTTCCTGTCATTTTCCTTCCTGCCATCAAGGCTGGTCCAAAAAGACTTTAACAGAAGAGTTTAAAACCACACTGTGGACAACAAAGTGTTTACAACTTTGTTTGCAACTTGGGAGCAAATCTCTGCAGCCAAAACCTCAAGGGCAGTCTTTCTAGTTGACAACATCACATCAAGAACAATAGTTTGCCTGTGTAAAGTTCGTTAGAGGATAGTTTTTACAGAGTTTAACAAAGTTGAGTCAGTTCCGCTGTGTTGAAACGTTTTGTCTTTTATCCAAAAAACTTAAATGACTCAACCTTGTTAGATTTATCTACCTGGATTATTGACCAGGACATTTACAGTTAGAAAAATTATACATAAAACAAACAGCACAATCCTCTGCAGAATGGACATGCTAAAGTCATGAAAACAATTTAAAGGAAAAAATATATCACAAAAAACGTCATTTGTTCCAAAGTAATTTCCTAATGTGACAGATGCACAGTAATAGACCCACACAACTCTTTTTAAGAACAATTGTTTTAAACTTGTGTCAAGACTGAAGAGAGTGAGAGAGACAAAATAAGTTATTTAATTGCAATTTGCTTACTTCTAGGCTGTGAACGGGTAAACTAGTAGAAAAATGATCAACAACTGATATGTGGGATCTTTACCTCTAACAGAACTCGATGAACTTTCTTCAGGAAGTCTTCGTTTTTCTCATAGTCTGGCACCAGCTCACCTGGTAGGTCTTGTCGATGGCCCAACTACGAAAAGAAAACAGAAACAGATGAATGGTCATGCATACTTATTCTGCGTGCAACATTTATTTTCCTGCATGGATTCAGTTATATCTCATTACTCAGACGAAGGTGGATGTTTTACGTATGTACATCATCACGGACTCACCTGATCTGCTGCCTGGACCAGAGCGCTCCAATCCAGTTTGGGGATCATCCGACTGACAAACTGAGGGTTGAACTCCAACTCATTCACCTTCACCTCAGTGGCCTGGACAAATGAGGAGGCAACAACACATCCTGTTGAAGTGGGGAATCAGGGTTTCTGTGCCTTCATCAATAGAAATGGTTCTGTTTTTAGAAAAGTTAGAAATAACTTCCGCTACGTCAAAATAAAGTAGTTTTAAAATTTACTTGTTTAAAGGACAGCTTATCACATGTGATGTTGAACTGAAATTATTCCAAAAAGGTTGAAGAAAAACCAGATGAACACATGATCACGTACAATAAAAATGTTCAGTTAAAGTTAACGAAGTGTTAAATAAATGTTAATTGTTCTCAGTTTGAGAACTGATGAATGAAACAATGCAACAATTGTTGGCCTTGACCTGCATATGACATATAAACAATAAACTAAAAACTAAAATTACAACAGGAGCAGACTGAGAATACAAAGATGTAAATTGACTGTCGTTGAAAACCTCTTTGCTTTCATTTGAAAACTAAGACTCTCGGGGATTGTCAGGATGTGCAGAAAAACTGCCGGCATAGCCCTACAGAACCTCACTGACCTACACAAGGCGAGGTCAGTGAACAAGGCCAGGCTGATTCTGGCAGATCCTGATCACCCACTCCATGGTGAGTTCAGGTTGCTTCCATCTGAACGCAGGTATCTGCTGCTCAGATGTAGAACGAACAGACTGAAAAACTCATTCATCCCTCTAACGATCAGGCTTCTCAATGAACAGTGATGATCTCTGTAGTTATTTTAATGTCTTAATGCCTTGTCTAGTATGGATGTTAGTACCATACCATACCACTTTATTTATAGAGCACTTAAAACAGCGACAAGGCCAACCAAAGTGCTGTATGTATGATGCTATTGACTGTGAAATAAATTGCACCTCGGGGATAATAAAGATTCTTGAAATAAGATGGAAATTAATGTAGAAGAGAAGAATCATTTACAACTTTACCAGTAGTGTCATGCTGATAAGTTGCTAGTCATGCTACACCCTGATTAATAATAAGTCCGGTTTATGCTTTTGTTTACTTGTTTAGAGACAATAAAAACAAGAAAAAGATATAGCCTTAAGTCATCTGCAAACAATATCAAAGTGGGACATCATTTAATTTGTGTCTATAATAAAGTTATTACATTTAACACTTAAAATGTTGTTTTAGTGTACTTATTTCATTATGCATTATTAAACAATAAAGTGCACCCTAATTTTGTTTATCTGACTCACAATTATCAAATAAAAATGAGCTCCTCTAGTTATGCACAAAAATGCGAATAAAAAAATAATGAATTTTAAAATAGGTCTACCTGGGCGTGTTTTTCTTTTAAGTATTTAATTTTAAGTTAACACGTTTCTATTTTCACTAGCTGCAAGTTAAATAAAAACGGTTAAAAAAAGGACAAAAGTAAAAATCATTGCCAACATGTACAAACAGAAATGACAAGAAATGCACGTGTTTAGAATCGTGCTCGCATGTTGAACTGCAGGACTTTAAATTTAAATATTAGCATTTGTCGAGAAATTACATACATCATCAGAACAATTGCACCTAAATAATTTCAACTGAAGTTTTTCTACATATAACTTTAATACAGAAATTTAAATCAAAAAGTGTATCAACAAATAACGTAAACGTGCGTTAGCATTAGCCACGCTGCTAGCCGAGATTACCTTAATGAGCAGCGGGTATCCTTTGGTGACTCCCTTTACGTGAGACGTCAACATATTGTGCGTGAGCAGCTTCATGTTTTTAAACAAACTCAAAAACATCCGAGATAAAATAACCAGTAGTCAATGAATAATTTTACAACTACGTGGAAATCACGCGGCGCACCGAAATGCGCACCGAAAACACTGCTGATGCAGCGCGTAAAACATTCCTGACAGAATCCAACTCCGCTATTAAAGGTTCCTAGAGCCCTTTCTTAAAAAACAAACAAAAAACAGATTTTAACAATTTCTTTACTGTAAAAACACGACTATTATTTTTCGTTATCATTTCTATTAAAATATATGCTCTAAATGTAATATCAAGCAAAAATCCTGTCATCTCTACTTTTCTCCTGTACTTAACTTTTTTTGTAATACAGTATAATGCATCTTCATGGTCATAACATTTCTTTAAGCTTTCCAAAGTTCTTTCAAGCTTTTTTCTTTAAACATTTATTTTTTTTACATAAATGTGTATATGTCCTATTGTAAGCCATCCATCCATTATCTTCCGCTTATTCTGAAGTCGGTCGCGGGGGCAGCAGCTTGAGCCTCATGAATAAAATCATAAAAGGCCAAAGTGAACCAAGTGTCCACTTACAACAAAATTACTTTACAGCATTTTTTTCTTCAAAAAAAAAAAAAAAAAAAAAAGACCAGATAAACTTTGGGAGACATAACAGTACATGGTGAATCTATAATTCAGTTATGCACTGGACAAAATTATCCATTCCAGGGAGCGGACTGATGAAGCTTAAAAGAAAAGGTAAATAGTTGGTGCATCTTAAACAGGCTTTATGGGTCTTAATTATTATAAAGTGGGATCTGTTATGATGCTTTTATTTGAGACTGGGATACATATATTAATCTTTAGGTTTATAAAAAGTTTAGAGTAAATTATATGGTACTAAGTGTTACATATAAATAACCAGAAGCTGTTTTTGATGGTAAAGCTAAAAAAAGTACATTATTAAAACTACACTAAAAGAAAAACATTCAAATTTGAACAGACAGCAAAAATTTAAGTCGCATTCAGTTTTTATATTCTTTTTTATTTTTGTAATAACTTGTATACTTGTTTTTGTAATACAGTTCATTCATACACTTTGATAGTAAATAGTAATTACACTCAAGTGGTGTAACAAGCATCAACCTGCCACCTGCACAGACATGCATCATCCGCACACACAAATGATCTCATTCACACATGTGCACAGAGAAGGAAACGTCTCCCTCACACACATTAAACAAAAGAACAAAACAATAAAAATGTAAAAACTCTTTAATTTTCTTCCATAATCACCAAATTCATGTCCTCCCAACTCCTTTCTTAAGTTTAACATTAACTATGCTTTAACAAAACACAAGTAAACAATAGAAAGAAAAAAACATACTGAAGGCAACTAAAGATGTGGGCAAACAAGTCTGACAAGAAAAAAAAAGGTTCATGCAGATCCTAGAATCTGGGATTCAACTTTTCACGGAAAGCAGCAGCACAGACGAGCTGTTATCAGGTACGAAACCCGCCGACTTACATCAGTTCGTTAAACAATTAACTTTGAAGCGTTAACGCTATATGCTACAGCTTTTAGAGGCTTCATGTGTTTCTACTCAGTCAGGTAATCCACATTTAGTAGGGATGGGGACAGGTCTGAGGAAGGCAACACAAACTAGTTAAAAAGGCCACTCTGAAAGGTTTTATGGCACCGATAAAAGCGCTGAGAAGAGCAGGTGCATAGCAGTCAAAACTGAACTAACAGCACAGCGCTGAATCATAAAGTCAGGATGAAAACCATCTGCTATCAAAAATGTTAGCTAAAATATTCAGATTCCACCATGAGAATAAACAGGACCTCACTGTACTTTAGCTCTGCAATGAAGCTGCTAGCAGCTTGTGACAAGTTATTCGGATTTAAAGATTCATTTCTAACACTGACTTTAAAAGTTTGTTACAGTATTACAAGAAAAAAAAACAAAGTCAGTGAATTTTATTATCGCTCATATGATATGCAAAGTATGACGTGTAGACAATGTGGGTCCTGTGAACGTCCTGACTGCTTCTGGTTTGGCTGAAAGAAAACTGTGATGTGTGAACACAAACAGGAAGAATCTGTAGAATGAGGGGAATAAAACGAGGACAGATCTGGTGAACAGCATAAAAAATGTTCATGTTTCAGTTGGTGAAGCAACGTAAAACACTGTCAGTAACTGCAGTACTAGTTAGTCTTTGCGTTGGTTTTTGCATTAGAGCACACACACATACACACACTCGTGCAAATCCACATCAACACCAGGATTCTCACTGCTGAAACGTTCCCACGACAGTCACACACATCCAGTCATTCTCACGTGCACACAATCAAAACACTGTCCTCAATCCTGTGTGTCCTCCGTGCGCCACTTGAGGAAATCCTCTTTCCGCGCGTCTGGTTTGATCTGGTTCCGCATGCCACCAAGCAGGTTGGAGGTCGCTTCGGAAGCTACGATCAAAGGTCTGACTACGGTGGGTGGGATCTGTCGCAGGACGCCGCCCACAGCGCCAGGGAGACCTTTCTGCTCGTGGCCACGAGATGCTACATCGCACAAGGTCTGAGCCGTGTCGATCACTCCCTGCAGCGAGAAAAGAGTCCAGAACATACAAAAACATCAAGACAAATTTTCTTTTTTAATATTATTTGTCCAGACTCTGACTAGCTTTATTTAAATTGGGGCTTTAAATTTTTTTTTTAAATTACTATAAAAGTAACAGCAAAGCTACAAACGCAGTGTTAGCTAAAAAAAACAAGTGTCTAAGATTATCTATGAACTTTTCAGAGCAGGGCGGGCTCAAAGTATAAGCAAACTAAGCGGCTGCTTAGGGCCTCGGGGCCACTAGGGGGCCCCTAAATGCTTTTTGAATTAATTTTTAAATTTTTTTAGTAATAACTTCTATATGATTCTATTTAATATTTTAAGTTCAGCTTTTGCAAATTGTTGCATACATTTACAGTTTTAAGAAGTAACTATTCAACTCTATATTTCTTTTTTTTTTTTTTTTATCATTTTACGTGGTTTCAAGTAATTGTTCATTTATATTATTTAGGTATTTCCTTGATATTTTGTTTTTTATTTTATTTAATTTCGTTTGTTTTTGCACAGTTTATTTTTATGCATCCAAGTTATTTTATCTGTTGTTGATCTTGCATAACAAATTATTTTGAACATTACTGCTGCAGTTCTTTGGAACCAAAGAAAATAAACCAGATGACACTTTTGCTGTAAAATACATTGCATACTGGTGTTTTTTTCATTTGTTACTTTGAGTACCACTAGATGATATACAGGTCCTTCTCAAAAAATTAGCATATTGTGATAAAGGTAATTATTTTCCATAATGTAATGATCAAAATGAAACTTTCATATATTTCAGATTTATTGCACACCAACTGAAATATTTCAGGTCTTTAATTGTTTTAATACTGATGATTATGGCATACAGCTCATGAAAACCCAAAATGCCTGTCCCAAAATATTAGCATATTTCATCCCACCAATGAAAGACAAGTGTTTTTAATACAAAAAACGCCAACCTTCAAATAATCATGTTCAGTTATGCACTCAATACTTGGTCGGGAATCATTTTGCATGAATGACTGCTTCATTGCGGCGTGGCATGGAGGCAATCAGCCTGTGGCACTGCTGAGGTGTTATGGAGGCCCAGGATGCTTCGATAGCGGCCTTAAGCTCATCCAGAGTGTTGGGTCTTGCGTCTCTCAACTTTCTCTTCACAATATCCCACAGGTTCTCTATGGGGTTCAGGTCAGGAGAGTTGGCAGGCCAATTGAGCACAGCAATACCATGGTCAGTAAAGCATTTACCAGTGGTTTTGGCACTGTGAGCAGGTGCCAGGTCGTGCTGAAACATTAAATCTTCATCTCCATAAAGCTTTTCAGCAGATGGAAGCATGAAGTGCTCCAAAATCTCCTGATAGCTAGCTGCATTGACTCTGCCCTTGATAAAACACAGTGGACCAACACCAGCAGATGATATGACACCCCAGTGACTGTGGAAACTTGACACTGGACCTCAAGCAATGTGAATTCTGTGTCTCCTCTCTTCCTCCAGACTCTGGGACCTTGATTTCCAAAGGAAATGCAAAATTTACTGTAATCAGAGAACATAACTTTGGACCACTCAGCAGCAGTCCCAGGCGAGATGCTTCTGACGCTGTCTCTTGTTCAAGAGTGGCTTGACCTGGGGAATGCGGCACCTGTAGCCCATTTCCTGCACACGCCTGTGCACGGTGGCTCTGAATGTTTCTACTCCAGACTCGGTCCACTGCTTCCGCAGGTCCCCCAAGGTCTGGAATCGGCCCTTCTCCACAATCCTCCTCAGGGTCCGGTCACCTCTTCTCGTTGTGCAGCGTTTTCTGCCACACTTTTCCCTTCCCACAGACTTCCCACTGAGGTGCCTTGATACAGCACTCTGGGAACAGCCTATTCATTCAGCAATTTCTTTGTGTCTTACCCTCTTGCTTGAGGGTGTCAATGATGGCCTTCTGGACAGCAGTCAGGTCGGCAGTCTTACCCATGATTGCGGTTTTGAGTAATGAACAAGGCTGGGAGCTTTTAAAAGCCTCAGGAATCTTTTGCAGGTGTTTAGAGTTACGTCGTTGATTCAGATGGTTAGGTTAATAGCTTGTTTAGAGAACCTTTTCATGATATGCTAATATTTTGGGACAGGCATTTTGGGTTTTCATGAGCTGTATGCCATAATCATCAGTATTAAAACAATTAAAGACCTGAAATATTTCAGTTGGTGTGCAATGAATCTGAAATATATGAAAGTTTCATTTTTATCATTACATTATGGAAAATATTGACATTAATCACAATATGCTAATTTTTTGAGAAGGACCTGTATACATATAGAATAATGTAAACAGGGCTGTCAGAGTTGCAACGAGTTTATGTTAGGAGGGTGAATGATCTGATCATCTGACTGTTGGTTGCAGTAATCCACATTATTAGAAGAAATGGAGGGTCCCAAACTAAATTTCACTTAGGGCCCCATGGAGGCTTGGACCAGCACGGTTTCAGAGGATACATTTTTATTATGCACCTCTCTGACGGTGTCGTAGGCCTTGGCCACTCCTTCCCGGAGGTCTGCGGGTTGAGCAGCTCTACGGGGCCTGCTGGAAGGGGCCCGGCCTTCGGTGATGGCGTAGCGACTCAGGGGAGGTGTGGGAGACAAGATGTCGTACACGGTCTCTGCTGTAGCCTGTCAGAGAGGTAACAGAAAGAAAGAAATGAGATAAAGGTCCTCAGTGAGATTTCTGAATGTCCCTTCATTTGTTCAATTTAAGATAAATTGTAAAGCCAACCATCCATTAAAGAAATGCAAATCACCTGCCAGCTATCGTGCTAGTTTGAAACTAAGATTAACTTACGTTGATGAATGACTGAGCACCATATCACAACATCTGTTAGTGCTTGGAGTACGTGCTGTGGTCAAGTCTCAACTACTATTCACTCTTAAAGTTGACTGCATTATGGCTATTTTTTGTTTTCTAATGTTCATTAGCTATGGTGGCCATCTTGAACTGAGATGAGTCCAGGAAGTAATCTCTGATTAATTTCTGAGAATTTTGATGAAATTCATCCAGTGATTCCTGGAATATTTGGCTAACAGATAATCAGGGTTGACTCCACCAGGTAATGCCAAAGTTTTAGGCAAAGATTTTGCCCAAAATGTAGTGCTTGACGTATATTTTGGGAATGACTCACAGCTACTACCAAACCAAATGTTATCCCTCTCTGTTGGTAAAACTGACTGAGTTGCAAAGATTATTTAGTTGTAGCAGCCATTTTGAATCATAAAGTAAGATCAGTTGTAGTGGTACAAGATTAAATTCTGAAAGGTTTATTATACGTATGTTGTTAACAAATGAACACAAACAGGCAAAATAATTGCTGTCCGTGTTTCACCTTTTGGTAACGATTGCTAATTATCAAACAAAGAGTTTGTAAAGGATCTAAAAACAGAGAGTTCATCTTTTTAATCGGTTTTGCTTCTGTCCTGAAAAGAGAACAAGTTCTCCACAGACTGAGTACCTGGATGGCCTGCACCAGCCTGTTGCTAAGTTCAAGAGCAGCTGATGCAGTAGAGGTGCCAAAGGATGCTGCCCCCCTCTGGAGACCCCGAATAATGCGTCCATCCTTCCTGTACTGTTCTATGGGGAGCCAGAACAGATCCCTCACCCCGTGGACTGAACAAACACAGAGGCAGAGGAGAGAGGCAGATTAGCCAAAAAAACAAATGTGTGAAGAACATGTTAAATGCTGCTAACTTACAAAGCTGAACAACTGAATGCATGGGACCGACACCGCCCAGAATGCCTGGCAGCTGATTCTTCCTGATGTCAGTCAGCCACTCTGTGACGGCGTACTGAATCACTTTGTCTACACCGAGAAGACTGGAAACATCGCAGACAAAAAAACAAAACAACAGTTTGCTTTTTAAATATATTCTTACCTCTCGGAAAATCAAAATACTAAAATTAATGAGATTTTAATCACAAAAGCTTATTTGAACGTTTAACGTAACAAATGATGTTCGCTGTGGAAGAGGAAGGTCTTTCTTTACCCATGTCTGCAGCAGAGCCTCTTCAGCTTCAGCTCAGAACAGTTTAACTGAGCCAGACCGATCAGAATCCCTGCAAACGTTCCCTGAGAAACAAAGAGTCACGCAGTGTAAGAAAATACAAGATCACTACCTGGTCGAATCCACTGGAATCTCTAAGTCTTCACCGAGTGATCGTGGTCAGATCAGAATAAAAGGGGCTTTTTGAACAACGTCCCACCTGCTCAATGACGACGTGTTTGCCATGGTAGTCCAGCCAGATAGGCACTTCAGAAGTAAAACGAAATTCCCTGAAAAGAACCGAGACGAAACAAAAATACTTTATTCATCTTAGTCAAGTTTTGCTGGGATAAAAAAAAAAAAAAAAGCAATATTTACATTTCCAACATTTTAGGTATAGATAAACATTTATGCAACAGAAAAACATTTTTTTTAAATACATTTTGTTAAACTTGGATTAAACCTGTGAAGAACCACCGTTTACACACCGAAAATAGATTGGCTGGTCGGAGGAAGATGAGGAGCCGACAGAGGAAGAGCTCTGCTCACTGTTTGTAGTTTCCACTGAAGCAGAGAGGTCAGGTCCCAGACCAGCAGCTGGATCTGCCTCCTCAGACCCTTTCTGGGAGGAATCTGCCCTCACTATGAATACAGAAAATTATAAACTTGTTCGGCAGCCAGTGAAATTAAAAAATGCACATGCACAGCTGAGTTTAAATAATGTTAATGGCAGATCTAGTTATCAAATGCAAAAGACAATTTACAAATCTGCAATAACCAACCTTCAGCTGCCAAGTCCACAGGCAGGTAAGGGTTAACAGAGGAAGCCAGATTACTAAAAAAGTCCTTCAAGAAAAACAGTGCATCCTGGAAGAAAGAGGAAAAAAAAAAGTCTGGTTAGATCTGATGAAAGTTTATAGGAGCAGCACAAACTACTGTCAAAATAAACTGAATGAGGAATAGTCTACTAAGTAAGCAGTGGAACGCCTCGTTATATCCAGAAAAATAAACACAAAGTAAATATTTAAATAACTACAGCTCGTTTTCTTTGATTAAATCTCAGTTTTTATGAATTCAAATCAAAAATGTTTGTTTCCAATTAATCTGACAGCTTTGACAATTTACTAAACAGTTTTGTTTTGCTGTCGTTCTTTCTAGTAAGCTAAAGCATATGAACAAAAAATAGGTTTATTTTCTGCAAAATGTAAATGAGAAGACAATGTTGCTGAAGATCTGAAGGTTTTAATTAGCTGCTTGGTGTCACCTACAGAAACTGGATCAGAAAAGACTGTTCCATCCAGAACCAGTCTAAGATGCTGGACTTACCTGATCGATGTTGAGCCGTAGAGGCAGCAGACTGACCCGCAGACAACACTCGGGACCACCGAGACCAGACTCTGGTAATACTTGCAGGGCCTTCACAGTCAGCTGCAGTGAGGACACATAAGATAAATGAGAAGCCTTTTGCAAGGAAGAAACTGTCACTAGGGCTTTAACAGACTACTCGAATAATCGACAGATCGATTCCTAGAACATCTATCAAGTTCTTAAATTTCACGTGGAGTATTCGCAGTGACGTCATTGTGTCACGTGATCTGCACCGGGCTACTAGTAGAAGCTACCAAATGAATTCCTCCCAGCAGATGGACTGAGCGGAGCAGGTCCAGTCTTGGCAAACAGGTAGAAATATATCAATAGTCTGGAAATATTTCACTAAAGATGAATCTTCCGGTTCAACTACCGTAAGGAAACAGAAGATGAATCAACTTCCTGACTGTTTGGAGCTCATTGTGAACTGGTGTTATACCATATTCTGTGACCACCGTATATTGTGACCATAGGGGGCGGTGTTGCATGCACTGTTGCAGGTCAGAGTATGGTGTAACACCGGGTCCATTGACCGAACCAGAACCAGCTTCCTTCTGACTTTGTTTCACAAACTAAAAGCAAAAAATATTGATCTCTAAACCTATAAAAACCCTATAAACATATTAATCTCTAAAACTAACTTTTGACGTGCTGCACGTTATTTCTTTCACTTTTGGAGCTTAATAATAATTAGTAGTTTTGGTTTTCCTGTGACTTATTTGCAGTATGATCAATGGTAGGGGCATAATATACTCTCCCAATGTTTTGTTGGTCTTTTTCTTGTAAATAAGAAATTACTTTCTTTTTCGGTTTAATTTTTTGTTTATTTTTTCATCTTGAGATCCTATGACGTCATCAACTACTCGAGTTCTACTCGAGTTTTATTATGTTCATGTCGAGTTTAAATATTATGTAGTCATTCAACCCCTAACTGTCACATCATCTTTTTTGACCCGTATCACTGAAAAACTCAGTGTGTTTAGGATGAACAGGATTGAACTCTCAGCCGTTTATAACTTAAATATTTTCTATTATTCCTCTTCCCCCCCTCCCTGCAGTCTCACCATATTGGAGTGAGCTCGCCGAGGCATGCTCTCGCTCGTGTAGAGGTAGAGGAATTTGTTGATTTGGGAAGAGGCCAGTCTGTCTCGAACTTCCAGCTCCTGGACAATGAAAACCTGCCTGGAAAGGGGCTGCTCGCCATTGGGAAGGACCCCAGTAACAGTGGCCGCTGAGCCATCCCCATCCTGCCCTGCTACTGGGTACGACTCATGCTGAAAGGACACCTGGAGGACACAAGAGAAACATATGGATAAATAATTAAAATGTACTTAAGTTCTTTCTGAAATATGACTTATCTACTAAACTACTCAAATATATTTGGTCATGATAAACATCAGTACCTTGGAGAGCTGGATTTCCATCAGCAGCGTGTGCTGACGGCCACTGCCTCCAGCCCAACGCCACGAGTTCTGTGGACGAGAGGAGGCGACTGTGCGAGACGGAGACCCACGAACACCAGCAGGGATGGAACGACCCCTGAAAGAACACAAGGAGAGTAAAATGGGGTAATTCTAAGAAGATAAAAATAAAGAGTAAAAATTTGTTGACAAACTGAATATCTGAGAAGTAGTTACTTGTTTGCGCTCTGAGGGTGGATGGACATCGACTTTCCACCAAAGTCCTTCCCCCCGTAGAGATGCCACACCACAGAGATCTCCCTCAGCACCACCCTGCTGTGTGGGACCGGGAAACCGTTCGGAGCTCGGAGCAGGTCTGAGCTGCCTCGAGGCCTGGAGAAGTGACTGTCCTTCACCTTGATGGGCCCCTGGGAAAGCACGGTGACCACGGGCTCCCCGTCTCTGGGCTGCAGCAAATTCACATTGGAAACAAATGTACAAATTCTGAAACAGATTCATGTCATCAAAATTTATACAAGGTAAACAAAAACAACGACAACGACAACAACAAGATAAAAGAAAACGCAGGAGCACGAAAGCAAGATGACACTCACAGGTATGCCCATGCCGGGCGCCTCCAAGATGCAGAAGTCATCGTTGTCAGTGGAGCCGTCTGAGCCTTCATCCAGCATCATGTCGGCCTGCGCCTCCATTGCCGTGGAAACCAGACCGTCCAGTTCAGAGTCCTCTCTCTGCAGGCCAGCCAGGCTGTGCTTCGAGGCTTCACCAGGGAACAAGTAGACAGAGACAGGGGAGCCTCTCGACACTGATGGCAAACCTTGAACATCACAAAGAATTGGTGCATCATTAATTTTCTGACACCAGGTTGTAGTGGAGGAAAGCAGCTTTTCTTCCAAATAACTCTACTGACTTTATTTTAAACAAAAGCAAACCTTATTATGACCATTAGATTTTATACACACATCAGTACATACAGTACAACTCTTCTGACTAACTCACTCATATGTTGATATGAATGTTCAGAGAGAACAGATACCTGCTTCAGTAATGTCTTCACTGTGGCTCTTCTCTGTGTCGATTAAGGCATCAGCCAGGTCATACTGGTTTATCTCTGCGGTTTCAGCAGGAAGGCAAGGCGGCAAAGATGCAGGACTTTCTGATAACTAACAAAACAGAATATCACACAGGTATTAAAAAGTTTAATCCAATCTATATAACACTTCTTAACATTTATAAAATAATTAACATAAAACAATTTGTTAAAGTTGTAAAATGTTAACCCAAAAATTAGTAAGGACCAACTGGAAATGTAAACACCTAAAGAATGGAACAGATTTAAAACTACAAAACCCACATATTAATAAACAAAATTGACCTAAACTGTTCGACTCATTAAGTTGAGTCAGGTTATCTGAGGTTAACATGGTGCCTTACTGGTAATTTCTGGCCAGCGATTTCAGTGGGTGAGGTGTGACAAGGCGGGGGATGCAAGTCCCCCTGGGAAACCAGATATTGCAACAGATTGACGAGGGCGGCACAAGAATCAGCGCAGGTATGGAGGTGGACCACGTTGTTGGAGCAGCGGAGCTCGAAGAGAGGCTGAGACTGCAGGACAAAGTGAAAGACAGAATGGTTAGACTGATAAAAACAAATTTAGTTCCTAGCATTGATTGTTCTCCTCTTTGCTGCTTTTGCTTGGACAAGTTTCGGTGGACTGGACTCGTTTCCCACAGATCTTTAGATGCCATCAGGTTGGTGTCCAGGTGAACACGTCAGACTCTTTGATAAATGTATAAATGGTATACAAAAGACTTGCTGCCGTCCTACTGCCATTTTCTTGTTAACTTCAGTTTCAGGTCCAACTGAGAATGTTGCTTGAGCTAAATTATAGTCTGGAGCTATTATTATAGAGAAACTTAACTATGGTGAAACAAATATTTATAAACATGCAGCTAAGCGCTTGTTAGTGGTTTTTGAAGGAAATTGAACAAAATTATACTGTTTTCAGTGCAGTTTTTCTGGCTGCAGAGACCTTTTTTTAGGTTGTTGAATACGAAAACAACAGGTAAGTAAAGAAGTCGTGCAGAGCACTCACCAGTTTGACAGAATCACCGCCTTTCCATGTGGTGATGGCGAGCTCCAACAGGTCGATGTCCAGAACGCACACATAATCTGTGAGCAACACACAGAAAGCAGGTTATTATAGATGGAGGAAAAAAAAAAAACCACCTATATTTTTGCCAATGATCCTAACATTGGCTGAATTGTCTACATCTTAAGCTTCAATATTTTGACACCCAAGAGGTCAAAGTAGCTTAACAAATAAAAATTAAAGCTTTCCTCTGAAACTGTTCATGTTCAAAGGCTGGACTAACAATAAGTGAAAAGGTCCAAAGAAAATCTTTGAAAGTAATCTCAAAACCCTGAAGAACTCCGATCAAGACCACTTTAAAGATTATAAAACACCTTGTAAAAAGATCTGAAGCTATCACCTTTGACCTCTCTAAGGGATTTTAAACAACTGTCAAGTTCAATGCAGCAATCAATGCAGACATGTTCCTGTTTTTAGTATCTTACATAGTTTTATAATGTAGCTTCTTGTTTTTATTTCTTTTTATATCGCTTATTTTACTTACTTTTCATTTATATGGTTTTATATGACTGTTTATTGTTGTGTGTACCTCATCTGTGGTTTTTGTTTAAAACAGGTCTCTCTTAAAAATGAGTCCTTGTGACTCAATGAGACTAACCTGTATAAATAAAGGTTGACCGAATGAATGAAAAGGGGTGGAATAGTGGCGCAGCTGTTGCCCCACAGTGAAGGTTGCAGGTTCGCCTCCCAGCTTTGGGCCTTTCTGTGTGTAGTTTGCATGTTGTTCTCGTGCACACGTGGCTTAACCCCGTTTCCTCTCACAAACTAAAGCTATTCACGTTAGGCTAATTGGTAACTCTAAATTATCCCTCGGTGTGAGTGAGTGTCTCAATGGTTGTTTGTCTTTATGTGTCCCTCTGATGGACTTGCAACCTGTCCAGGATGTCCCCCACCTCTCGCACAGTGACTGCTGGAGACAGACATCAGCTGCCCCGCAACCCAGAAAGAAAAAGTGGATAATAGACAACTGATGGCTGGAAGGCGGCCAAAACAAAAAGGAAACAATCTAGTAAAAACATTTTACACTCCTCTAGCTAGCTGCTAAATAACACAAATACAAGACTTGAAGTTCATCATATTCCAGGGATGCACCAGTAAAGGACATGAGGAAACATTAACCTGGTTACAAACAAAGATAAAATTATTCCTACTGTGTGCAACAGACTCGGAACGTGTTTTACCTCTCCTCAGGTCCACTGTGTCAGACACACATTTGTCAGAGAGGTAGAGAGCAGAATCATCCAGAATAAATCTGATGAAAACACCAAACTTACAAAAGTTATGATTGTTGACAAAGTAATATTGCAGCATTTATTTTCTTTACTGCACAAATGAAACATTCAGTTGGCATTGTACCTGAGGTGGAAGGTGGCAGTGTCTACGATGATGTTAGTGGAGAGCGAAAATGACTCTGCCGTGAACAAGACTCGTAGAGGCAAATACAAAGGCCTGTACAACAAAACAAAAAACAAAGGTGAGGATAAAAAATAAAAAAAACAATGAAAACTGCACTACAATTTTAACACCGTCCAAACACTTTGTACCTGTAGTCTATGGCACAAGTAGCGAGGTGTGTGTGGAGGACAGTGATGATAGCTGGTGGTGAGTATCCCAGAATGGGATCATCAATTACATCCAGAAAGTCAACCAGCTGTAAAGAGAAAATGACTAATTTAGCCTTCATCCACCTCATCTGATTCCAGAGTGATTTCATTTTTCTCTTTTCAGTGAAATGTGACAATAAAACAATCAACTTTATTTATACCCTTAGGTAGATTTGGTTACAGTGATGTGAGTCAGCTTTTTTGCCCGACAGGAAACTTGACAGACATAAAATATAAAAAATAAATATACCTAACATGATATAAAAATTATTCAAAAATGGCCCGGTGCTATGCTATGCTAAGTCGAATTTTGGAAGCTTATGGCACCAGGATCGAAAATGGTTTTATACCGCTTAGTTTTACATCTGGTAATCAAATATCTGCATCCCGATGGGAGGAGCCTGAACTCTGAGTGCAGAGGATGAGACACATCTCTTCAAATGGATGTGGATACTGCTGCTGTAGATTTATGTCTTTTACACTTTTGGCGCCTTGTTTCTGTGTTTTTGTTGCATGCTTTGAATAAATCCCAGTTTATATTAGTTTTGGAGTCGGCACCGAGCCCAACTCCGTTCAAATTAGCGTGTGAACAACAGCTGAACAGAACCTATGAGAATCATGCTGCTGCTGTTCTGTGTATTGTTTTGCTCTCTTAGCGATTAGTGTATATCTTAGGTCTTTTAGTGTACCGTTGGGCATTCGTTTAGCATATATATTAGTTTATATCTTAGACCCCTATTTACTGTTTCGTTTTACACTTTATAGTTTTGCTATTGTTGGATGTAACTGGAACCATGTGTATACAATTTCATTCCACCTCACGTACCACATGTGATGCAAATGACAATAAAGAACCTTGATTCCTTGAATAAGCTCTGCACCTGCCTGAAGTACAAGGATTCTGGGCTTAGCTGCATCTCACCCATCAGCTTACTGGACCATGTGACTAATGGTTGTTATAACACCTCATCTCTGGCAGTGAGACTGCTGTTTGTTGCAGGACTTGTTATTTAGGGTTGAGGGGTTGCACCAAATTACAGCAGATGAATTACATTAAAATGTATGATGACAATGGAAGTGAAAAGTCTTTAACTTAATTGGCAAAATGGAGAAAAAAAATCCAAAAGCAAATTTTTAGCTGTATATAATCAATCTAGCTTGTCTAACTGCAGTTCGGTGGATGTGTCCTCATTAGCCACATATGAATCTTTAATGTCCATCTAATCCCAAACTCACATCTGAAGCTACAAAGAAATGAATAGCTTGATTAACCTGTAAAAAAAAATCTGCTTTGTGAGAAAACAAACGAATGACAAAAAGTCATGTTCACTGGATTTATTTGTTCAAAGAAAAGTGCTTTGTCCTCTGCATTCATGTTCAATCTCGAACTTTAAAAACCCACGAAAACACTAAAGGTGAAGTGAGATTTGTTTCTTTCGCTCCTCACCTGCTCATGCCAGCTCTGGTCGGTCTGCGTCACGTGATGTCGAATGGTGGCGCCTTGAAGTTGAAGCGCAACAAGGAACTCCTTGAAAGAAACAAAGTTTATTTTCACATCAGTTTTACAGCTGTTGCATTAATCGGGTTATCAGGAGTGCATACCTTGACGTTTCTCTTGAGGTCCAGAGTGATTTTTATGGCTGTGGACAACATCTGCTGCTCCCCTTCCCTCCCGCTCACATTGCTCACCCCCACCTCTGTGGGGTAGATGGTGGGGTCCAAGTGCTTTGGTGCAGTGAAGCTAGGCATGTCCAACCGCTGTAGGATGGGGGAGTCTTTCACCACAGCTAAATGTTAAAATACAAGAATGATAAAGAGAGAATATAGTTCTACTTTTCAACCAGCATTAAAACCATTTGCACAATAAATTATACAAAACGACTGAATTAGAAACATTACAATAAAATGCAAAAAATACCACAACATGCACCTTGATGGTAAAGTTCCACTCGTTTGCTCTCCAAACACAAGAAATTGAGATTGGGATTATTTTGATGTTGTGTCACACTAAACATCTTCCCCCCTTCCAGGTCAAGCACAATTTCTCCATGGGTTTGGTCCTCCTGAAGTCAATACCACACAATTCAAACAAACAAACAACAAAATGTGATGTGAAAAAGCTGAATTGAAAATGATAAATAAAGCAAAAAATATTAGTTAAAAAATTAAAAAGATTAAAAAAAAATTAAGTTAAACTAAAATTTAAATCCACAATCGGTGTACAAAATGGTCAGTAGCACAATAAACCAGCAATTTAATTAAAATATAACACAAGATAAACTTTTTTCAATATTATTTATTTCATTTATTGACTATATTCATGCAATCTTTATTTATACAGGTTAATCCCATTGAGCCTCAGGGACTTGAGAGACCTGTAAGACAATAACTTCTACTATGAAAAACTAAGATGTAAAGTAACAATTATAATTTATTAAAGTATTTTGCACTGTTGCATTGCAGCTAGCTAGGTCTTAGTTTGACTCCTGAATGCAGCTTTTCTGCATGAAGTTTGCAAGTTCTCCCCATTATAAGCTTTTTCCAGTTAGTATTTTTGTCTATTTTTGCATCCGAGTGCCCGTCCATCCAATCAACCATTCATTTATCTCAGCTTCTCCATGGTTGCAAAGACAGCAGGGGTCTCGCGTACAAAGACTTGCGTGGATTTCTACTGAAACAGTGTATGGTTAAATCAAGAAAACAGCATACGCACAAATAAATCCAGATGTATGAAACCGTGCATATGCATGAATTCAAGCTCACTTCTTTTGTACATCCCAACCAACGTGGAACTGAATGCACGTGGAATTGAATGCATGTGAAGGAATACCCAACTCCATGGGATTCTCGTCTGCATGTTAGAAATTTATTTCTAGATGCTGCAAAATGAAGAATTTTATTGAATGTGAATCAGAGATGCTCCTAATTAAGAAGTAGGGTGTAAAACGTTGCCACACATAAAAGGTGTGTGTTTTGCTGTTGAATGAGGTAAACCTGGGGGCGGGGGGGAATCTGTTGGCGGAGCCTTTCTAAGGCATTTCCAACTTCACACACATGCAATAATAACTGTAAACACAGACACACTCAGGAGCTTAGTAGAACTTGAAACGCTTATTCTTTAAATAGTTAATGTGACAAAACGAGTCACTGAGAATCAACAAAGTATTTCTCCGTGGCCTACTTCTTCTTCTGAAAATAACAAAAACGGAGTGGCATCAAGTTTTAGCAGTTTTAGGAGTTATATTTTGTCATTTTTCAAAAATGGACTCGGCATGAGCGGAAGATGAGGCAGAAGACCATGGAGAACGTTGTTTTTCACACAAGGCAGCTGATGGCTCCATATGAAGTAAGAGAAATGCGTGTTTGTTTGCCCTGCGTTGTACTCCACTTCCTGCTTGTGGAGCGGGGCCCGGTCTGTTTACATTCACACTGTACTCGAACCGCGCTGGAGTTCTCTTCTACCGGACCGAGACCTAGGTTTTAGCCCGGGCCAGAGTTCGCCTTTTTGTTCCGTGACAGAGTTCGATGGCGAGTTCACACCTCCCCAAACGAACCGGACTTCCTAGGAAAAGGAGCTAGAATTCGATTAAAGCGGACTAAACAGGGCTGGTGTGAATGCACCTTCAGTACTGTGTGGTCTGATACTACATATGAAGGTAAGCACATTCTCATGGCAGGTCAAAATGTGCGTGAATTTACACACACTTTCACGCAACGTTCATTTTGCTACATCCTGCCATGTGTGCGGAACCTGGTGCACACAACCTTTTCATGTACGCACTGTTAACACATGAGGCCCCAGCTCCAGGAGGGAAACCCAGACATCCTTTAACCCAGCAAGATTCTTCAGCTCCTCCTGGATCTCAAGGTGTTCCCCAGCCTGAGAGGATACATATATAATCCTTCCACAAAGTTCTGAGTCAGCCCCAGGGTCTCCTTCCAGTGGAACATCTCCAGAAAACCTCCAGATCGAGGCCTCCAGGAGGCATCTTAATCAGCCGACTCATTTTGATGCGGAGGAGCAGCAGCTCTACTCCAAGCTGAACCCTGTCACTCTATGGAGGAAGCTCTTTTCAGCTGGAATCTTTTTCTTCTGGTCATTACATCACAACACTGTCCTTCCCCAGTTCAAAACCATGTATGTTAGATGAATTGGCAACTCTAAATTGGTCATAGGTGCGAGTGTGTTTGAATGGTCATCTTTGTGAAGGCCCTGATGGACTGGCCTTTCGTCTAATGACTGCAGGAGATAGGCTCCAACTCCCTGCGACCCTACACCGGATCAAGGGGGTAAAGAAAATGGATGAACGGATTTTGTTTATGCAATAGGCTGCTCAGAGGATCAGTTTTTATCAAAAGTAAATTCTAAACATCTGAACCAAAGTAGAACTGCTGAACCGTTTAAGAACACACAAAAAGTTTCATGTTCAGCAGTTAAACTCATCAGTGCCCCTTCATTTAATTCATCATCCTCCTGGCTCACCTTCTTGTCAGTTCTGGCTTGAAGGCGCCCCTTCCCAATAATCACAGTGAGAGAAAGGACGCTGAGGTTGTGGCTGGGGAGAGGAGCCAACTGCTGCTTCCTTCCAGATGAATCACTGGCCAAATAAAACTGAGGATCATCTTCTTCTGAATCGGAGTCTATGGCAGAGTGAGAAGCTCTGAAGCATTTCATTTATCCACAAAGCCAACATTTAAGTCCAAAATCAATACAAACCCATATTTTATATGTTTTGGCACACTACTACATAAGTTGTGTAATAAATCTACATCATTATCAATTTCTCCCACCCCCCATGAGAGCGGTCAAACTTACCCAGTCTAAAGGCTGATTTGCACAGCTGGAACTCGTCATGGTTCTGGCGGCTCTGGTCAGGGCTGTGGGTTGAGGGAGGAGGAGGGGGAGGCGGCTCCCACATCAGGAGATCGTTATTGATCCTTATGGATGAAGGAGTGGAAAACTAAAATTATCTCTCAATCATGATATTAGGCCAACATGAAGATTAAAAGGACACAAGTTCCAAGTGGAAGTGATTAATAAGATGACAAGAGGGAAAAAACTTTACAAAGCAAAACATTTGCAAGAAAACTAAGATAAATGTTTAGCTAGATAGTGTGAATGGAGGGGACAGATTTAGCTCGTGTTGTTCTTTACATACCTGTTGTAGATGCTCTGGAAAGCCTGTTTGCTGGGCAGCAGGACGTACGCCAGCGGCAGGTTTATATCCACAGCACATTGACTCTGAACAACACACTGGTCCTGAAACTGAAGCATCTCCTCTCGATCGGCTGGAATCACCATCTTAAATCAAAGAAGAGACATTGACTTAGGTTTGAGATCTCATAAAGATGATCATTTAACCTTTTTTATCCTGCGTCATGTCAGCACACCTCCTCAGTCTCAAACATGGTGCGATTGGAAGAAAACGGGGAGCTGGTCTTCTCAGTGAATTCACAGTGACTTTCAAAAAAGGTGGCCCCCAGGTCTTTCACGAAGCCCAGGTTCATCCCACTCAGACCTGCTGATGGGCCCTGAGCTTCACCTCCACGTACACGAACTGATATCCTGCTCATGGGGGGAAAAAGCAGAATCAGTAGGAAAGGGACAACAGAATCTTTTTTTTCCTTTGGATATGATGCAAGAAAGTTCAGTTTGGGCAGCAGAAAATCACTTTTTCCAAGAGGAACATTAATGCCATAAAGTACCAAAGACAGCAGCATTATCCCCTTTAATGGGGGATGATTGTACAGAATCTAAACTCTATTTATTAATTTTTTTATTTAGATTGTAAAAAAGTGGGCACAATCTTACATTCTAAGTCCACAAAATGACGTTGATCATGTTTTTAAACGAAGAACTGGTAGGAAACAAATTTTAAGCGCAGTATTTTATTACATGATGTATGTTACTCTAATGTTTGAGTACAATCACAAGTTACCGGTACATTATTACTAACAAATCAGTCAGTCACAAAAGTGATTTGCAAGCACAGTAAACTGACTTTAACGAGCCAGTCTTTCCAAGTTTCCTTCAAAACATTTATCTGACACAAAATAATTGAATTAAAAGCAAGTGAAAAATCTTGTCAGGCAGAAATAAAAAGCCAGGGACTCACCTCGGTAGAGAGTCACGGTTTCTCTTTACTTTGATACAGGGGAAGGAGCCTCCCTCCCAGCCCTCATATGACCCTGGCGACACACATCAGGAACAAAGAATAATGTACCAGGTAGGAATTTATCTCTTTCTTTTAAGTCTTCAGAAGACATGTTTGTAAAGCAAAGTATATAAACAGAAGAAACAATTTTCTAAATGTTAATATGTTTGTTAGAAAATATGGCATATTATCACATAGATGAGTAAGCCTTTAACATTTTTCTAAAGTTTGATGCTACCTGAAGTAACTGAATGAAATCAATAGTGAGTTCGGCATTTTAAAAATATTCTGTCCAAATTATGTACTGTACCTAAAAACTCCTTTCCTGTTTTCACATTCAGATATTATACAGCTCTCCCACAGAACTTTGTCCCTTAGAAGTAAAATAAGCTCACCTACAGTGTGACATATTCTATTCTTTAGTTCATCAACTTTAATTTTTACAGAAATCAGAGCAAAAATGAGGTTTCCATCAATTTTAACAAGCACACAGAAAGAGAGCATAGATGTGATGATAAGAGCTTTAAGTTGAGCTCTAGACTTTTTAAATTTTTTTTTTTTTACAAAGACAGCAGTTTATCAGAAAAAAACAACTACTTTTTGAGGTGAAACCGAACATATTGGCACAAAAGCAGGGACACTTTCACTGAGAGGGCAACGTTTTAGGATGTGCAGGACGATACTGTGAAACATATACACTTGATTAAAGATGGTGGTATAACCCCGTAAAAACAACTGCAGGTTGGTTGTGCTCCCACCGTGCAAATCGGTGAAAGAAGCCTCCAGTAGCTGCGTGAGACTGGGAGTCCAGGGCTGCCCTGGAGCGGCCTGCTCGCTCTGGAGGTCTGGGGCCTCCTGGTGCCTCAGCTCCAGCTCAGTCAGCTCCAGCACCAAGGTCTCCTCCCTGACTGCTCTCTGGGTCGGTGGCCTTCGCTTAGGGGGAGGCCGCAGGTCTGGGATGGGAAAACGAAGCCTCAGTATGGCGTTGGGGGAAAGCAGGGTGAAGGAAGAGCTGAGCTCAGTGCTCTGGGTCTGAGAGGACAGAAAGTGAGACGTTTTTAAATAAAATTTTCTCAACCAAAAATCATCAAATATAGCATTTGAAGAAAAATTTCAGTCACCCCCTACCCCCTGTAATTAGTGTCATGGTCTGCAACGCTTCAGCTGGATTGTTTTAAGAACAATATGAAGGGGAAATGCTGAGACGATTTTAACGTGTGTGTCAGCACAAATAGAGTCAGCTGTACATGACAGGATCATATTTTGAGACAATTTTCTTGTAGTTTCGGTCAGTTTTGGTTTCCCAGTGTGGATGTTAAAAGTTCATGGTTCTGCAAAACCACACTGGCTTATAAAAGACTAAATTATATTATGAGAATTCTGAATGCTTTTCCACTTAGTCATGGGCAGCCTGGTTTATGACACAGATGGGCTCCTGATCAACACAGCTGTGTGGTCTTGATTGCAAACATATGCTGTCGTTAGTGAAAGTGGGCATTTGGATGCGTTTATGTTTTCAGTGAACTGTGTTTCCTCAGTGCTTTCTGGCATGGGTGATAAACTGTTATATTTTATTTGATTCAATACAAGTCTTCGTTTTTAAGAGTTTATTTTGCCTGTATTGGATTTATTTAGATGTAAGAGCTGGACTAAGTGTTTCACCTGTATGAGATCTGATCCAGTACTTTGCGTAGGACAGTAGCTGAAGGCTTGACTGAGGCTTCCCAGGCGGCTCAAGATGTCCAGGTCCAGCTCGGCGCTGAGCTCTGCCAGTTCCACCCGTACAACGCTGTCCCGCCGCAGCACACGCTGTTTACCCTGTCAACAAAAAAACACATGAACGTGTAAAATAATGGGTCAACTTCAAGGCCCGTAACATCTTTTCTAGCCCTCCAAGATGATATTTAAAATGTATATTTTTATTGCTTCTCAATTTACCTAAAAAACTAACAGATACTTCACTTTGTGCAGACTTCTAACGTTGAAGCCAGAAAAAAAAAAAAGTATTTTTTAGTAATCTTTGATTTTGATGTGGAAAAAGCAACAGTTAACGTCAAATGAGACTGATCAAGCTCTTGCTGATGAACCTGCAACCATTAAATGACGTCGGGTTTCTGACTTGAGTTAATGTATCGACTGAAGGTGGTCTGTGACTTGAACCAAGTTTGTAATTTTGACCTCCATTTGTAAGTGAGTTTGACACCCCTCTGTTAAAGTGTCATCAGCCGCCACATTTTATTGTTCAGAGGAGCGTGCTATGAAGCGGTCAACACAGCAAAAAGATGTTTGTGTGTTAAATGACTCAAGAATATTTAAAACTATGCTCAAAGACAAGAACCTCTCGCTACAATGACACACAGATCATGATGAATATATCCAGTAACATAATGAAAGACACAAATCAATCTGATATAACTTCTTACATCAGATTCATCATTAGCAGGGAGAAATGTTCAAAACAGTCTATAAAAACAGGTCATTACTTGGAACGGCACAGTTTGTACAACAAAATACAAAATGTACAGACTATGTAAACAAGAATCATTTCTTTTAAGATAAGAAAAGTGCTGTATTATCAAGTGTGTGTGCATGTGTGTACTTTGTGCAGGAGTTTTTCAGTGAGGCTGTAGTGTAGCTGGGCACACGGTCTGGCTGCAGCTCCAACTGTAAACAAACCAGCTTTTTGGAACTGAAGTAACTAAAAGGAGACAAAAAAAAGACATGTTTTATTAGTTTGGCATTACAACAACAAAGACAAATTAGATGCAAATTATATATATTTTATTTGTTTCACATTTTACACATTTTTCTCTGAAATACTTAATCCCATGGAAATGTTTTAGACATCTTTAAAAAAAACGAAAAACAAAACTTAATTTTGATAAGCCATAACACAAACATGACTGTTGAAGTGAAAAAGAACAGACACAAAAACCCTTAATATTATAACTTTAAATGTTAAGTTTATTATTAATGCTGTGATTCGTGCTAACCATAAAACAAAAGTAGACTAATCATAAAAACATTCTTAATGTATTATGGCTAAAACAGATGCAAAGATTTTCTACCTCACAGTACTGATGCTTTTCATCCTCCCAGAGGCACTCCAACAGTTCCAGTCTGCTGAAAGAAAGGTCAGAGGTCACAGCCCGGCAGCGGCGTCTCCCACTGCGCATCTCGCACACAACCTGCACTGCTGCCCCCGTCAGTCTGCACGAGAGGAAAACAGAAACAGTCGATCAGTGAGCTGTAGAAGTGTGCAGACGACCTCAGGAACAGTGTATCTGTGAATGTGTTCAGAAAGTGACTATGTGGGAAGGAGAAGCATCAAGAACTGAAAACCAGCAGGAAAAAAAAAGCAAATATGATGAACACCTCGCAAAAATATAAATTTTCTAACATTTAACACAATCGCTACAAGCTTTTTACCTTCAGTAAGTCTATTCTCTCCATATTTTTTTTAATTATTAAATATCACTGATAAATTTTTCAACATTTGTTTAAGATTTTCCTGCTCCAAGTGCTTTTCTACCTGAAGTGGGAGAGTGGGCAGGCTTCGGCGAAGATGCTTCTCAAATTGTTGAAGTTTTTGTCGCTGAACATGCTGTTCTTGAAGAAAGCCAACTTTTTGAAGAACTCCTGAGACACCTGAGCCAATGATGACGCTCTGTCAGAATCAGAGGATGGGTTTTCCTGCAGCATGGTCAGCGTGATCCCGCCGATGGTCAGTCGCGACAAGGCATCAGGTTTCAGCTGCTCCACCTGACCGCTGTGTGAACGCCCTGCAACGAAGACGATAAGAGTTCAGTAAAAAGGGTTTATTTTTGATTAATAAATATAAATACATATGGGTTTAATGTGTAAGATTATCTTTAATTTTGGACTAAATTATTTTTACCTCGTGTCCTAGTCTGGGGTAAACTGGACAGGCAGCCAGCGACAGGATATCTCCTGGGACAGCTCACCAAGCCCTGGAATTGACCAGCAGACACAACATTACTTAAGTTTTCTACATAAGTATGTTTAAGATCCTGCTGCTACTTCATGAAAGCTAAGGGGGGGGGGGGGGGGGGGGGTTAAAAAAAGTACAGTGTTCATTAAAATAATTTGCTAAATCACATTTTACCACCAGTAAACATGTGATTTCCAATAAATAACTTCATAAGATGACAAACAAAAAAAAAAAACACAATTCAAAGAAAAGTTAACGATAAAAATTATAGTGTTTTTAAACAACACCTCAACTAGTCATCCAAATATTTATCAGGTAGTTCTCTGGCTCCGACAATAGCCTAATTTATGCGTTTCTTCTAAATGTTTTAAACTGTAAGAGTCACTGTTGTACAGACACAGGCAGTACCTGTGCTGCCGGATGTGTGAGGCTGGTCAGACTGTGGGTGGAGGACTCCATGTCGCTGTCCGACAGCTCGCTGCCGGAGCGAACAGACGTCACGCTGCTATTCATTCCAGCAGGGCCCATGGAGTAAAACATTTCTGCACAAACACATCGTCACAAGTTAAACATTACAGTGTACACAAACGCATCATAATACCATGTTGCTAAGAAATAGAGCAGCAGGAATCATTTATCCAGATCTGAACTCTTTGTATCTAAATGAAAGCTAATCCAGGAGAGTTTAATTAAAGAGATTAATTAAATAAATTAATATAACCGACGGGACATCCTTGTGAAAGACATTAATAACCTCAATGGATTTCTTCTTGGTAAAATAAAGGTTTAAAAAACAAACAAACAAAAAAAAAACCAACCCTCTATGACAAGGTTTCAAATAACTTTGCGGGGCAGGATGGAAAAAGTTCTGCTGTTTTTTTCCACACAGATCAATTACGAATGAGCTTGTCCTGATCTGCATACCTCCGTTCTCCAGAGCGGAGATGTAGGGCTCCAAGTCCGGCTCAGTTTCCCACTCCCTGTCTTTGGGACTGGATCCCAGCTGCTTACTCAGGTCTTCCTCAATCATCCGAAAGTCATCCGAGTCTAAAGGACGGCTGTTTACTCCACCACACTTTGCCTCTGGCTCTGAAGGTGAAAAATGAGAACAACTGATTCACATGTGGATGAAAAAAGCCCAGAAGAACCGAAGCCTTTGTAAAAATCCCACACTGAGGAGATATTTTCAGATGTTCGTGATCTCCCTTCTTCGTTTTAGGCTACAAAGGAAGACAGATAGATAAAATAAAAGATATAATGCCTTTAAAATACTCTGCATGGTTCCTATATTGTTTGATTACTAGCTTATTCTTCCTCTTTTATTTTGACATACTGAAAAAAATACTTTATTTTGCTTGACATCATTTTGTGGTGCAATTTTATGTAAGCGGGCAAAAAGTTTCAACTCATCAAGAGCATGAAGACATTAATAAATTAACCCCCATTGCTCCAGAAAAGAGAACATCAATTTATGCTGAAGGCTAACGACCATTTTATTATTTATACTGTTATAAAAGATCAGGCAGTTTCTTTCATGTTCTTGAGCCTCTGCTGATCAAATCAATTTATTTTAAATTCTAAGGTTTATAACATTATCAGAATAATTTGGATTTTATTTGTTAATAAAATAACATAAAAATCGGTGAAATGATTTCACAGCTTTAAACTTTTCCTGAAACTGTTGCGCTGTCAAAGTTCTGTTCTGGTTTATTGAACGTTAAATGAAGAAAGCAGATATTTAAATTGTACCAGTATCTATGCATAGGGCAGCCAGAAGGTCTGTTAGATGGGTTATTTGATCTGGAGACAGCAGCAGGTGGACACAGCCCACCTTCCCTTCCAACTCCAACTGATGAGAAGAGGAACAGAAAGACAGAAGAATCAATATGCGAGAGCGTCTGTGTTTTCTAAGTTTACATGAGAGAGCGCTCCACCTTTGGTCCCGGCAGCATGTCGTTCTGTTTGATCTTGAAGATGGTTTCAATGGAACCGGAGCAGCGTCCTATGAGCAGGGGCTGAGATGGAGGACAAGAAGTGCTTTTCAAGGACTTGGGTTCTTCCTCTTCTTTCTCATTGTCTTCTTCTTCTTCTTCTCCTTCACTGGCTGTAGCTGAATTTGGTTGTTCCTCTTCATGCTGACCCTAAAGAAAAATGACAAACTTCATGCATTTTCAATTACCTTTGAATTAGAAAGTATTGAGGGAAATGACTCAATTTATCATTTTCTCTGCTATTTTATCGTTTCAATATACAGTGGTCCCTCGTCTATTGTGGGTGTTAGGGACCACACCCACCTGGAATAAGTGAAAAACCGCAAAGTAGGGATACAGTAGTCCAAGTTCAAGTTCAGTAAACTTTGTCATGACCTGTGCCAGACTATACTCACTCATCACCTGTTACGTCCAATCGCCCTCCTTAAAATAAGCAATTTAAATTTAAATACTGTAATATTTTAAATAAACAATCCATGCAGCATGGGTTGTTTATTTAAAATATTACAGTATTTAAATTTAAACTGTAGAGAAGGGAAGTGCAGCAGAACATCCAAGTGTTAACGCTTCACGCAGCTCTGCAGCACGAAGAAGAAATGTACCTCTTGATCAATTACACTGAAACAACTGAACAAAGAAGTTCTAAAATAACTAAAAATAACTTTCAACACTTTTATATTTTGTGATTATGACAATTTTACGATGTGACACTTTGAATTTTAAGTTGGAAGACAAAAGTCGATCGGTGCAGCAAAGAGTTTACCCTTCACAAAGCCGATGCAGCAGGAGAAATGTGTGTGGTGGCAGGGAAGGAGATCAGCTGATCAGCTGCAGGAGGGAGCTTCCCCTGCACTTGTGAGCTGCACACATGGTGCAAAATCATTTAAAATAATTTATTTTAAATAAACAATCCATGGCTCATCCATCAATCAGCCAATTGTGTCATATCCAATCTTATTTTGAAAAACTGTGATATAGCGAATCCGAGAAAAACGAACCGCGAAGTAGCGAGGGACTCCTGTACACAAAACCTTCCAGCCCTGTTCATAAAAAAGATGAAGATCAAGCATTATTGGCTTTGTGTGTTAGGTAAAGTATCATTCTACATTCGCCTTGTAATCTAGCCGTTTGATACTTTTTTTTTTGCCATCTTATTTGTATATATATATATTTTTATTTTTTTTATCTGTATGCCTTTTTATAACTGTCTATTGTTGTCGTTGTTGTCCATTGTTGTCATCCTTCTTTGTTGAAATCAGGTCTCTCTTGCAAATGAGTCCTCGAGGCTCAATGGGATTAACCGGTCTAAATAAAGGTTGAATAAATAAATGAAAAAAATTCTCTCATTCTGTACCCAGAACAGTGACGTTTAGAGCCACAGTAAACCATCACATCAAGTGCATCTAGTGACATACGTAAGGCGCAGATTAACTTTTAAATAAGATGTCAGCATTGTGAGGAGTGACTAAATGAGACCAAAATAAAGAAGATGACAAAGTTTTGTTTTCCAATCGTTTGGCCCAGGCACTGTTAAAAAATGTTTCCTCATTTCAGGTCAGAGTGACTGAGAAAACCATAAAGTAGGAAAGTTTTGTTTCTTCTAAAAGGTTGAAAGCTGGTGAATTTCTTAGTCATCCAGGATGCTGTAATCCTAACAAAATAAATCAAAGATACCTAAACTTAACTGATTGTTTTTTTTTTGCAGATGTTTTGCTTTTCATTTCTCAACTCAACTGAGAAATGTTTAAATCTCGCACACTTGTATATCTGAAGGTGAACACAAAATGAGGATAATTTAGGACTGATAAAAGTGTGAGGGACATAAAAACTACGATTAAAAACATGGCAATAAAAATATATAAAGAGAGAAATTTAAGCATGAAGAGTTCTCGGTAAGTCAGAGTGGTGTCCATCACCTGCACTACGCCCGTGCTGTCGTAGAACAGCTGAACGGCGCTCAGCTGGAGGATCTTGTGCAGAAAGGCGGGCGGCTGGTGGATGTCGACAGGCACGGCAGTCTGGCTGGCTGGATCTCTCACTGCTTCGTCAAAATATTGCAGCCTGGAAAAATACACATCATCATTTTAAAGACGTATTTTAGAAGGAAAAAGATAGTGAGAAAAAGATTGCTCTTTCTCTAAAGTCCAAAAAAGTTCAATCTGGTCCTCTGGACATTCAAAAAAACAAAAAGCATGCTTTGCTTGCTTTGTTTTGTTTTTTTGAATGTCCAGAGGACCAGATTGAACTTTTTTGGATTTTTCTACCTGGATTATTGAGCATGCATCAGGATATCTTTCTCTAAAGGAAATTATTTCAACCCCTTCTACAGCGGTCGTCACAGCGAGCAAACTCTTGCCAAATGCCCTTCTTGACTCAACCTGGACCTGAACCTGCAGCCTCAGGATGACAAACGACCACCAAGCTACCCAGCCCCAAAGATGATGGACAAAGTCTGTGGCATGATCTTTAACTCTTAAGGAGAAACTATCAGACCCCTGAAACATAAGCTTCCTAACAAACACCTCAGTGACATGAGCCACTGAAGTCAAATGAGCTGACCTGCTGCAGAGCCTTGGGGTCACTGACCGCAGATCAACACAGCCAACCTGAGCAGGTTTGTCAATAAACCAGGAAAACAGAAAAAGAGCAACTGTGTTACAAGGTTCAGCACAAAATAATGCCTCCAGCTGTTGTAATAACACAAAGTTGTGTAAAAACTAAGGCACAAAAGGTCAGGTGTGCTACAGCAATATTAACTCAAGGCCAATCAGATTAAACTGTTCGTATCCACAAAGAGAAAATTATGAAGAACATCGACCAGACCTTTGAAGGAAACTGTCCAACTCATCACTGCTTGTACAAATAACTATAATGCTGTTTAAACAACGCCATAAAAACGAGTCCACTCATTAAGAACAACAATCACCTTCTTCCTGGTTTGCAGTGACAGTGACCCAATTACACTTTTTCATAATGTCATGATCACACACGTCTTAGCTGCAGCCTGCAGATATTCACAGACACTGATAAAACACTGATGAGGAAAATAAACTTGTCAGTACCGGCCCAGTTAGAAACGAGCTTCAACGTGAGCCTGTCTACCAAAACAAATCAGAAAGGGTTAGTTTATAACAGAGAAAAGGCTTCTGCTTATCTGCTGATGAGCACGGAGGATGAAATCCAATTTCTGGTTTTCATTTTGCCTTCCTTCTCTGCTGACAGCATCACAAATGCAGATCTACAAGTTTTTTGTGTTTTGTTTGTTTCACTGATGATCAAAACACAAGTTTTAAATCCAGACCCAAACAACTGCACTTGTCTCTTAGAAAAGTATTCACAAAATGATTGACACCATTGTGCTAACCACATGCTGAAATAGGGAAAGAGGTCACACTGTTGCACAAAACTGGAAATGAAAAGCAAAGACAAAAAAACTAATCTAACAGTTACAGTTCATTGTGCTGTAAAATACAAAAAACATGGCAAATGTCCAAAAAAAAATGTATTTGAGTTCATGACTGTGGCACTAAATCTGAAATATTTCATTGAATTTGGTTTAGCAATCATATTTGTTTCACTCTGGCCAGAAGAATTCAAAGATCAGATAAACATCTACAAAAAAATTATTGAAATCAAATGAAGAGATTTTCAGATAGTCAGTTATACCAGGACACATTATTTTATGTCGCTTAATGATTTTTCACCTTACAAGAACAGGAGATAGTGTATGTAGTTTGTAGCTGTACTGATCCAGGTCAGTTTAGTTTTACAGCAGAAAAATTCATTAAAAGGAAACAATGCAGCGTTTAAAAAAAAAAAAAAAAGTATTCACATAAACAGTAAAAGTGATCTTTAGGTTTCTGTCCAACAAGAAGCAGTTAGTAAACTTTTATTATTTTTCTTTTTATAGTTCACTTTCTCTAATATTGTAAAAACAAAACAAATCAAAAAGCTCCAGCTTACCGTTCAATGTGCACTTCTAAGGCAACGCCTGTTTTCAGGTCTGGAGGCTGGTGCTCGATGCGGACGATGGTGTCTACAAAAGTGACTTTGATACGACGGAGAACTGCAACCGCAGAGACAAATAAGTCAGAGGTCATTACAACTAACTTATCCTGTCCAGCTGACAGTCTTCGGATAGGACTATTTACTTTTTAAATATATGTTTTCATGCATTAAAGTTGTCTCAGATTGAAAAATTTGTGATGTGAAGCTGTGGACAGTGAAATACTAAATATAATAATTTCAAACTCTAAACAGTCTGGGTGATAGTTCTGTTTGTCGACAGCACGCCACCAAAACAAGACCAAAATAACCTCTTTGTCCAGTTAAAGCTGAACCTGGATTGACCTGCAAACCCAGAGCTGGTTAAACATCACAATGACCTCATCTTACTGTTTGTACGCAGAAAAACAAAAACACTGCAAATACACTTCAGATGCAAATTTAAATTTGAACACAAAGCTTTGCTCACCTGTCTCGATAGTCTGTGCAAACATCTCCAGACCCTCCAGTGGGGCAGGCGGCTCCTCGGACGCCTCCGGAGGGTCCTTTAGGCACTCCTGAGCCAGCTGCATGCTGGAGGTCATACTGGACGACCAGCCCTGTGAGTCCCAACTCCCATCTGAGGGAAAACGAAACCAAATGGGATTTCTGTCATTTCTGATATTTAAAGACAGACCAGCATTTCAAAGTCTTACTGTTTACCGTTTGCAAACGTAAAATGTATTACTCGACATAAAACAGAACTCGCAGAGATGAACGACTGGTCTTTCTGTAGACAGCTGAAAAACTAAGAGGATAAATGATTTTTTTCTTAAACAGGTTGGCTTCATTTTTAGGAACAAAAAAAAAATCATTTTGAAACAATAACATGGTAGCTTATTTCTCACACAGATAATTTCTGACTCATTACTGTACTGTATTTTTGATATAGTGAGGTCAAAGTTGAACTCTGAACCTCAATAACTATGAGCAGGGTGTCAAAATATATTGCTGAGTACTGTCCTTAAAAAAAAAAAAGAAGAGAACTTTAGCTGATTTTTATGTTTATGCCATGTCTCTGGAAGGCATTTCAGACAAAAAAAAAAAAAAAGATGCGTCACATCCATTCAGAGGTCATTTTTACATTGTTCATAGCAACATTTGCTAAATGCATCAACACACTTGATCTGCTTAAGGAAGACAAATATTAGAGAATAGAGCATGTCCGTCTTTGGAGCAGCTTTAAATCAACAGTCTGACAGCTGTATTTTGTTTTTTAAAGGATAGAAAGATTACACTTTAAGCCATAACTCATACATATGACGGGAACATGTTTTGGCAAACAAACAGCTGGAGCAATCCTGTCAGAAGAAGAGAGGAAGATTAATTGATCAGTTGAGGTCAAATATCAGTGGATGAATGACTACATTTCTTTCAGCTGTTGCCACAGTGAGTTATCCTTCATCTCACTGTGTCCTCTGTCCTCACTCCAACTACCTCTATGTTCTTGCTAACTGCATCCATATATCTCCCCTTTTCTTGTTCCTGGCAGCTGCATTTCTAACATCCTTCTACCAGTATACCCACTGTCCCTCCTCTGAACATGTCCAAACCATCTCAGTCTGGCCTCTCTAACTTCATCTCCCAGGTGTTCAACCTGTGACCTCTGATGATCTCATTCCTAATCTTATCCATCCTTGTCACTCCTAAGGAGAACCTCAACATCTTCATTTCTGCCACTTACACTTCTTTTTGTTAATGCCACAGTCTCCAGACCATACAACATGGCTGGTCTCACCTTTAACTTGTAAACCTTTTCTTTGATCTTTGCTGCCACTCTGTAGTCACAGATCCTTCCTGAAACATTTCTCCATCCACTCCATCCTGCCTGGACTATTTTCTTCACCTTTGTGCCATCTTTATCTAGTATGGTGTTATTTGGACAAACACATGTTTGTTTTGGCAAAAGTGTTTTATGCTGGATAGCCTTTCTGTCACAACCCTGACCTTTCCCACACCTTTTACCAAGGATTGGAACCAGCATGAGATACAATGGCTTGTGCTCCCTGGTGGCTGGTTTGGGCACATGAGTGAATCCATCAAGCCATCCATTATCTTTACCCGCTTCTTCCTTTTTGGGTCACGGGGGTCACCGGTGCCCATGTCCAGCAATCAGACACTCTGGACAGGTCGCAAAACCATTCACTCTCTCACACCTAGGAGCAATTTAGAGTTACCAATCAGCCTAACATGCATGTTTTTGGTCTGTGGGAGGAAACTGGAGTACCTGGAGAAAACTATGGCATGCACGGAGAGAACATGCAAACTCCACCCAGAAAGGCCCCCGGACCAGGATTTGAACCAGGGACCTGCTCGCTGAGAGGCAGCAGCTCTACTAACGGCACCACCATACTGTCCCATGAATGACTAATGAAGTGAAATTTATCCAAGTGTGTGCTTGACACTTGGATTTTCTCTCACATTTGAGTGAAACACTGAACTCTTAAATTTTGTTCTTATTAAAAAAAGTTTCATCCACAGTCAGTTCAGCTGAATCTGGCTGCATTTAACAAAGACTAAAGAGGAAAGATCTCATAAGCTCTCGCAGGAAGAGGTTTCCAAATTGACTTACTGGTTCTGTACTTGGGTCGACATGTTATCTGAAGACCAGAAACTTCTAAGGTGCAATGATCAGTCAGGAGAGCTTGCCAAGGGATGGTCACGGTTATGCTGCTCACAAAACCATCCACTATCTCCAGGGGAGCCCCAAGAGACTCAAGAAGTTCGTTGACCGCCTGTAAAGTTAAAAAAGAAGCAATCAGTGATGACTGGAGAAGAATGTGTGTTTTCAATGGGAAGACATGAAAATAACTAGTGTAGTGGTTGTAGCCAAGTGTATCTTATAAAACGTCCAGTTTGAAATTGGGGAATGCATCTGCCCTGGACAGAGGAGGGGGAAGGGTTTCTCCCGAGTGCATTTCCTCGAAGAAATGCGAGCTTGGCTAAAACATGACGCTGGAGATTGTTGTTGAACTCGAGTGCAGTTGCGAAACAGTCAAGTGTGCAAGAAGAACCCCACAATAACACAGCGGCTGGGAGTTGACAGCCAACCAGTCTACTTTTTCCTTTACTCCACAAACTCACCCACACATCGAGGTTGATGTCCTTGATGACCCCGTTGCCGTTGTACAAGTCCAAGCCCAGCTGCTCCAGGCTCAGTCGCTCCTGCAGAAAGTGACCTAGGTAGTGCTGCAAGAGGTACCGACAGGCCCGCTTCTTGATGGAGCCTGACCAGGGGAAAAGCCAGCGAGACATAGGGCCAGAGAGAGCGGGGAGAGGGAGCGAAGAGGAGGCTGAGGAGAACGAGTGCGATGGCAGCTCTCTGGAAACGGCATAACAGACTAGAACAGAGTGTGCAAAAAAACAAGGAATGAGCCGCAGCTAGCTAAACGGCTAAGGAAGGGGTAGCACCGTAATTCTCCCCCTTAGCTGGACACAAAAACTAGAAAATCCTTTGTGTCAGGACCGAAAAGACGCCCACGCTGAGTGAAAATGGCTTACTCCAACCGACTATAGTTTTCTCGGTCCATGTTTTTGCTTCGTTTCTGTACTGGAGCGACAGGTCCTGTTGGAGCGTATCTCTTGTTCGGCGTTGTTTATTGTTATCAAACGCCAACTGCTGGTATGGTGAGCGGACGTGCGTAACTACGTCATCGTGACGAAAGCAAAACCCGGAAAAGGTGCAAACAAGCAAGTTGTAATTTAATGTATTATTTTATTATTGTTGTGTTAGTCCTTTCGCACGGGATCCGATTACTTTATTTTAAGCGATTAAACATTTCGAGTTTTAATGTTTGCAAATGAAAATATGATGCATGGTTCGTTGGTAATTTCGCATATCTTCTTTTCATGACCAATAATTTACTTTAAATATACATTTCAATCTGTTCGTCCTAAACAGTTAACTTATGTGCATTTAAACTGCAATTGCATTACTTTTTTTCATACCTTTGTTAAAAAGTAGTTAACATTTCCCCAATTTTTACCTGCCTCCGACCAGCCTAGTTACAAAATTTACTGTTGGAAATTATGACCAAGGTTCACTTAAAAACAGACATTTTCAGGGATTATTTTACTTTTGTGTACTTTGGTCAGATCCTTTGCTATAAACAATTATGCACATTTTTCCTACTGAGCAATACATGGGTAATTTTTAATCTATTCCAAGTGTTAAGTCTAACAAATTGCATTTGTAGTCTTTATGAACAGGTCTCTTGTAAATGAGTCCTCGAGGCTCAATGGGACTAACCTGTATAAATAAAGGTTGAATTGAATTATAAGTTCTAGTCAACTTGGTTAATTGTAGGGACTTTTTTTGGTCAAACTATCAGATGTTTTTATAGACTAAAGTGAAATCTTTTTGGTTCCCAAAATATATTTTATTGTTTAACATAACAAATCCAGATTAACAACTTTAAATCATTTGACATATGCATTTACTGTCTTAACATATCAGCTAGTGCCTATATACAAAAAAAAAAAAAAAAAAAAGGCTATTGTGTAACTTTACAAACAGCATCAGTCCTTGGGTCAAAAAAATGCCATTTAGCTGTTAAGACAACAATTACAAGTCAATTTGATCTACATTTATTTTTTGTGAATACAAAAATAAGCGCAATAATAAAAGAAAACATAAGCTATAAATAAAATAACTGTTTTATTTCACAAAAATTTGAACAAATTCTTCATTTTAGGAAGGCCACATCTGGGATCTTGCCTTCTGCCTGTAGAAAAAAAACAAAAAACAAACAGCTCTTAGCTTAACAATTTTTATGCAACGACAAACAGACAAAAGAAAAAAAACAATGATTTGAACATTACTTTCAACTGTGTAAAAATCTGTGCTGCTCGGTTGAAATCCCACTCATTATCCAGCAGACACCTATGACAAATGGAATATTTTATCAGTTGCACATTTATTAAAACATTTAATATACTTGATTTTGTAAAAATATTACAAAAGCCATACTTTTGTGACCATTCCAGGTTCATGCCTGACTTCAGTGAGAACGCTGTAAGCATCTCTTGTTGTGGAGCTGTGAGGGTTGGGACGGGACTGGAAGATGGAGTTGGTGCTGGAGCCACAAAGGCTCGGCGGATCTCCTCTGTTGTAGCCATTCGGATGAAAAGCTGATCATTGACGATGCACAAACTGTGATGGAAGAAAGTAGACAGATGATGTTTAAAACGTTGTCTTGGCAGGCAAAGTTGGAATTTTCCCAGTTATTCATTTGTCATTTAAAATATAACTTTATTGTGCTCTGAATTAATTTTGGGCCACGAGGTCAGGAAATACGCAGACTAGATCTATTAAAAGGTCTTTAAACTCACCCAGAAGTCCCCGCTGGGACTGTGACGAAAACCCGAGAGAAGGCCATGGTGGACTCTCTGGATTTTCCATCAACAACAACTGAAAAACAAATGAGACAAACAACTCAGCGCTTCAGATCCTTTTTCTATTAGAATAACACAAAGTTTATGATGATAACACAACTCACCTTCTTTAAAGACTCCACTCACAGTGAAGGAGAGTAGTGTGTTCTGAAAATGGAAAATTATTTGTTGCAAAATTACAACAGAAAATGAAAGAAGTGAGAGGAAAAAGTTATAAGCAGTGCCCTATGAAATAAGCATCCACTCACCGTGCAGGTGTTCACATCCACTGTAAAGGAGGCAATGTCGTGTTGCGTTTTTGGCAGCTCGTTGAGGAATGCCACAACGTTCAGTCGAGTGTGCTTGATTAACCGAAACCGCATTGCTGAAGAGAAAACAAACAAACAAACAAACAAACAAACATTATTACGCATCTAAAATAAAAACTCGCACAGATGCAGCAGCATGTTAAAAGCTGCGAGGGAGAACTCACTTGAGTCTTTGAGCCTTTTCAGGTTTCGACTGTCTTTATGATACTCCCCCAGACTGCTCCTAAACACCCCAGCAGAAAAAAAGATTTGTGTAAATGCAGCTAAAACCCAGATTTGTGTAACCAGTCACAAATAGAAATATAGCAAGTCAATTCTGAAAAACTTTGGTCTAATTCCCTTTTATGCGATAAATTATAAGCAAATGTGTATTTTTATATGTTTTTACCTGGAGGGGTTCTGTGTGGAGTAAGGTGTTGTGATGGATAATGAAGCACCATCATGATAAGCATCCAGAAGGGGCTGCCTGTCTCCTGAGTCATATATACTGTAGTACCTGCAACACAGTCACATGTTAATGTTACTATATTTGCTCCTTTTTGATGTAATCTGCAGCTTCAAAAACCTTTTAAACTTACTGCTGCAAGAAACGAAGGATGAGTGCCTTGATTTCATCAGAGCCAAAGTAGCTTCCCTGAATGAAAAAGCAAACAAAACAAAAGGCGTTCTTCAGGTGCAACACGAACCACAGAGAATGAAGTTTTACTCAAGTACTACCATAAATACAGAGGTCACATGAAATGGAAACTACACAATGATAATGAGCCAACCTTGGAGGGCGGGATTGTAGTCGGTGTTTCAACATCAAACCTAATTGGAGGCGGGAGGTCATTACCATCCTGCACAAGTGACAAAGTTGTCAGATGGTATCACATAACAGAAAATTAATTTCAAACACTTGTGCATTTTTTTTTAAATAATATTTTTATTAAAACAGTTTAAAAACAAAAACAGAAAAAGTCCCAACATCTGCACATTATCCTGATAACTTGTGCCAATTTAACACAGTTAAAAGAAAGCAGACCCTTAGAACAAAGAACGTTAAGCCATGTTTGTTTGGATGCAATGTAAAAAAGGGATGAAGTTCAAGAGAAGAAAGGAGAAAACCAACATGTGGACATACCAGTTTGAGAAGTCGAGGAAATCTCTGCCGCACAGCACTGGTACACAAGAACAAAATCAAGAGCAAAAATGTTATCATCCCAATCTACTAATAAATAAACAAACAATACTGAATAACGAAAATAATACTGTCAGTAACACCTGCTGGTTCACCCAGTGTCCTTGCAATTTCTTAATACTACGTTTTGGAAAAAATGCACATGAATGTTCTTATGGGGGGCCGAGATGGTGTAGAGGCAGGGCAGCCGGTTTGGGACCCAAAAGTCCCAGGTTCGATCCCCAGTCACTGCACATCACGTGGTGTCTTTGGGCAGCACACCTCATCCCCAAAAGCCTCCCGGCGCTTTCAATAGCTGCCCACTGCACCACCTGGTGGTGGATGGGTTAAATGCAGAGACTAATTTCGCCATTGTATGGAAACATACAGTGCTGACATTGTGATGACATTATTATTATTATTACTAGTGACAAGGTATTTTATCTTTTTTTTTTTCCCATTCAACCTTTATGTATACAGGTTAGTCTCATTAAGCCTCGAGGACTCATTTACAAGAGACCTGTGCATTGACTTTTTGTCAATGCACATGAAAATCCACAAACTAACATGCATGCCATAATCCTCCCTCCAGTTTTGAGTATTTTAAATTCTCCCACCCCAAAGTGTACTTACCAGCAGGTATACTCACCCTCTCCCCACAACAGGGTGATACACACAGATCTGACATGGAAGAGCAACACAAGCACACTTTTCTAGGAGTATACACACGCAAACATGCCACCAGCTGCCAGACTGTGCTGGAAACCAGAGTACACATCCAGGTTGAATTAGTAAAATAAAGAGGTCATATATGCATGGCTGGGAGAGAGGTGGTTACCGCCAGTGGTGTGTTAAATCCCCCCCCCCCCAACCTAAATTCTGGCTAAGATGTTTGAAAAAAGACAAGTCTATGTCATTAATAAAACAACATTTGGGTAAATATATATAATTATTGGGCAAAATTTAGAAAAGTGCCCAATATTCAGAATGATTCTAGTTAATCGTGAAAGGTTTTGTCCAAGTCTGCACCTATAATTGACAGCAAAGAAAAATGATTTGAGATCAGAGATGAATAAAGGACAGCAGGCCTCAAAGTGAGCTGGACCCAGCAGTCCTGCTGTTCATGTTTCCCCATTTTTCAAAGTGTTGGTGTGCCCTGAAGAGGTGGCACAGCTCTTCATGTATCTGGATTTGTTGAAAGTCATTATGATTATACCAAGCCTTGGTTACAAGATGGCTCTGAGACAATTAAGAACTTTAGCATAGACAACACTCAGCTCTCTCTGCTTCCTGACTGAGCTTTCATTTCTTCTCTCTTGGTAGTGGTCAGTCATTAGAAACTGCAGGAGGAAGTGCTTTCTCATTCGTTTCCATTCTTCACTTCCTTTTTTTGACTGAACTTTTAATTTCCAGTTCAGAACACATTCCTTTCTGAAGTATTTGACAAGTTTTGCCAAACTCTCCGTTCATTGAAAAGCCGAGGCCTCTTGCAGGAGGAAAGATTGAACACGGTAGGAGAGACTATTTTTCTCTCGTCTCATCCTTGTCCCTGTTGATGAAAAATAACCTGCTCCACCTCAGCCCAACGGCTTTGCCTGTGTAGTCCCATCCTTCCCGTTTCTTGTCATGCTGTCAGTGAGTCTGAGCTCACAGGGACTGAGGCCGAGTAATCGTGACTGTGCCTGCCTTAGGTTGTCCCGAGATTTCGAGGTGGGATCTTACCCGTCATGGGCTATCCAGCCTTCCATACTCGCCTGCTACAGGAGCCGAATGGGCAATTATTTCATGAGGGGAGGTGTGGGGGAATCATTGGCAGTGGATAGACTTTGATTCTTTCATCTCTCGAGATGAAAAATAATTTTCCTTCCCAAGACAGCACATGTGTGATTACTCAGTGCTGTTCAAAAGATAATTTCATCGTTTTGGATGCTCATCACAGTACATTTCAGAGAGTCATGCTCAGCTACTTTGTGTTATATTTAACAGGAAATCTACAATGTTATACAACAGTTCAGAAAATAAAAGCATGAATGTCAGCAGGGGAGTGCTGGGTACAGTGTCACTGAGAACCATAAAACCAAGAAAAGACCAAAAGGAAAAAAAAAGGATGCCCCACAGAGAAGCTGAAAACTGGCAGGGAGAAGATTATGTTCAATGAAAGGGTCAACAATAAACTGAAACAGAAAGGACAAACAATGGGAAATAATCTGAAGTTTATGTCCTCTCAGCATCTTTTGGAAGAAAGAAGTTTAGTTTGCAGTGTGAAAAGAAAACGTTAATTATCTAGTAGGAAAGAAAAGTGTAAAACAAAGAACAGCAAATAAAACGTTTTTGTATAAAATGGGCCCTGTATGACGCTACATGTGTAGGTTTTGAAAGTGCTTCATTACACACTTCATGCAGAGATGCATATATTCAATTACTGACTTTTTCCCATCCTTTGGACACAACTGAAGTTAATCTAAAGATGTGAGTGGGATTGTTTTGGAGATGGAAAAAGTAAACAGAAGGATATACAAGTAAGCAAACACTGTTTTCAATTATTTAGTTTTTTTCCTCACAAAAATCAAAAGCATAAAAACTGTTCTATTAATGTCAGATGTGACTGGTTCAAAAGTTTATCCTTCTTAGAAAATGCTTTCAGTTATGATAAAGCCATTTTAATCATTACTTAAAAAATGTAATTTCAATTTTTTTATAACCACACTGCTGCAAACACTTAACCTGGATTTATAGACAATGAGAAGGGCCAGTTGTGTCTCGATGACGTGGGTGCACGACAATAATTGCGTAGTTTGCTTCTCTTACCAACTGCTGACAACCCGTCTTGTGCATTGCCACCACTCAGAACTCGTTCTTGGTACAATGTGGCAAGCATTGTGTGATTGGACAGAACTTCATGGGCGTTTGTTTATGAAAAGTGGCTGCAGTCAGCTGATCTCAGGGTAGCATCTGCTGAGAAGCTGCTGGCCGGGGATGTGAGAAAATACAGCCAACATTACAACTGTTCCAGAAAAAAATAATAGTCAAATAAAACTTTTAAGGATAGCTGTGGCGGTGATGACCATGTGCAGGTACACATTGGCCGAGCAGCGTACAGGTATGTTCCCGTACTTTCTGTTGGATACGGTGGCGGTCTCTTTGTGACAAATTTACAAAATAGTGCTTCTCAATTAACAAAAGCAATACCAGATGGTCCTTCTGTAACTCCATCATCATCATCAACTGAAAATAAAGATCCACTCTGAAAAGCGCGCAGTCTGTGTTGATTCTGATCGCACTGTGTGCTGCAGGGACTGATCAGGATTTATCCCATGCACTTCTTTCTTAAGTACGGTCACTGAGAAAAAGACCGTCAATGTCAGCAAGATCCGATGTCCTACATGTTGTTGAAGTGCGGTGGGGTCTTTTTTATTCAGGTGAGACTCACTGACACCCTCAGTCACAACACTAATTTCTCCATGTAAAAAATGTTTCTTCTCACCCCCCACAACTGTTGACTGACCTGATGTATGCAGCCTGGTCCTTAAAGAGCTCACACAGAGGGTTCCTGTTCAGCCACAGCTCCACCAGTTTCAGGCCTTTTATTTTCTCCAGCTCCCGGTCAGTCTTCAGCTATTAAAAAAAAAAAGGATGTGTGGGAAAAAATAGAAATTATAGAAACACGTTACGCTAACAAGACTTAAGCGGAAATTATGTCTGTTCTCACCTCATTGTGCGAAAGATTGAGGGCCTTGAGATTAGGTGCTTTGGTAAGTAATTCAGCAAGCTCGTCAAGTTTGTGAATACGGTTGTTACTCAGATTCAAACATGACAGCTGAAAGGTAAGAGAAGACTAATTAGCAAACTTAACTGGATGCACTACATTCTCAGCATAAGAAATAACATTAAACCCATCTCTGCTTCCATGAGAAGGAACCAAACTGTTAATCTCACCTCAGGGATGTTTTCTTCAATGATCTTAATGACAGCCTCCATGCTTGTCTTCCTGTTCAAGATGACCTCAATGTTCTGGGACACCAAGTCTGTCAAAAAAAAGTTGAATTATAAAGAAGAATTCCAAGTATTAAAACCACTACTAGACACAGATGGACATGCAGGAGGTTTTAGTTGGATATAACCAAAACAATAATACAAAAAAAAAAAAAAAAAAAAAAAAAAAAAAAAAGCTTTCAATTGAGGGCTTTCTAATCAACAACAGTAAAGGTTTTTAATAAAAAAAAAAATTAAAAAAAAATCATTTTATCATGCATCTTACATTTGTGTGAAATGCTCTAAGAATATAAGTACCTGGGTCCATTCGAATGTTGTTCAAGTCCAGTGCTTGCTGGGAACCATCAAAACGTTTTGCCATGCATTGCTGTTCAGGATAAAAAACAGTCAATATAAGAAATGTCATTAAAATGTTTAATATGTTGATTGTCCTCACAGAGAAAACTTCAGACGTGCTCTATTTAAAACCCATGTGTTTTAATGCTGCAATAATTATTTTTACAAAACAAACACATCGTCAGAAAGATGATCAGTATTTCACCTTCAGGTGTTCTATGTGCTCAGGCTTCAGGTCAGCTAGCAGGAAGGCTGGTGGATTACTTGGGTTAACATGCACTTCCACCTTTAAAAACAAGAACAGGTTTTTAAAAAACACAGGTCAATAATTAGGGATAAACTGTTGGGTTTTTGATTAATTGGTTATAGTGCAAAGTTTCGTTTATGTCAAAAATAAATAAGTTGCAATTTTTTTTATGTAGGTGTGAGGTGAAATCATCAAAATAGTATGACAACCAGCAATTATTTGCCAGCAACACAAAGGCTAATCATTAGACACTACATAGTATAAGCATCAGTACAGAAGTTAAGGATGAGATTTTATTCTTTAGCACAACACACCTTATACCCATCTGAATCTGTGATCTTGTGAGAACATTTCTGTAAAGCATTGGCAGCAGCAGAATCTTCCACATAGAAATGAACCCTGTTGTGGTCAACATGATACTGGACAGACAGAGAAAAATATTTAATCTCATTAAAATCCTGTATACAAATGTGTCTAGAAAGAAAATGGTACAACAAATAAATATGAATGAATACTGGAAAATATCCACTTGATTCTAAACGATATTAACCCTAAAAAATATACAGAATCTTTAAAAAGTGCTTAAACTTACCTGTATAGGTGAGTAGGGAACTGAACAGATGTTCTGAAGAGCTGGCACTAACCACTTCTTGTCATATTTTCGTCCATGTGGTATCTGTCAAACAGAAAACAAAAAAATTTAATATTTTCTGACAAGTTAGTTCAGATCTGCTAGTCATGGGGTCAATGTAATGTCACACACCGTTACTTTAAACCAGTTTGATTGGGATCTCAGACCACCTCGATCTCCTCCTCTTCCACCACCTCCCCCTCTACCACCTCCTCCTCCTTTGCCCTGTCGCTTGTCTCTGTCAAACCGTCCATCTCCTCTCCAGGGTCTTCCATATGGATTGCTAAAAAAAGAAGGTAATAATTTCAAGGTTAACCATTTGTTTTAAAAAATATTAAGGATACAGTGATAGAGAGCTGATTTAAGCCAATGTTACTTTTTAATTGAGCTTTCATTTGACAAAGTTTAAATGTATTTTTTTTTTTTTTTACAAAATAAGTACTTCATGAAAGCAGCTTTACCCTGCATACAATTTATTATCATGAATATTACATAACACACTACAACTCAGAAACAATTCCAAAAGTACACAATATTATTGAACAACAATTAAGTCAAGCTCTAACAAAAGGCCACATTAACAACTTTGAAATAACCAAATTCTTCTTTCTTTGAATTGTGTAATGTTCTAAGGAGGAGGTGTGGTATTGCATGAAACTGGTCCAGATGACACGACTTACACCTTTGTTGTTGTCATCTACCTGGATGATTGAGCTCACAACCTTTTTTCACCTGGAATATCCTGTGCAGCCTGACCCAGGACAACAGAACTGTAACTGCTAGTGCTACTGTCAGTGGAATATTTAGGCTCAGTCAAACCAAAGCAGCTAAGCAGGTTTATCAATGTGTGCCTTTAAATTAAACCTGCATGTTTAACATACTGCAGCTGTGTCTGAAAATTGTCCGTGCAAGAACAGCTTTCATATGAACTAAATAAAACAAATACCGGTAATTTCAGATGACTGGGGTGATATATATATATATATATATATATATATATATTTTTTTTTTTTTTTTTAACCAGAATTAATTTCTTGCTTATTACAACTTTCAAAATGAGCAATAAGTCTATTTGTTCTAAATCACTACTTACAATCTGTTCTGGGAGCTGCTGTCTTGAGAGTTGTCACTCATAGTCACATCCCCATCTGTATCTTCAAACCTGGATCGTGGTCCAGGACCTCCAAATCCCCCTGTCTGATTTCCTCTCCGACGATCCCTGCGGGACCTGTCAAACGGCCGACCCTTAGTAGAGCCTCTGCCTTTACGGTTGCGAAATGGCAATGTTCTGTCATCGTGCTCTGCAGAGAGAGAGAGAAAAAAAAACTTAAATAAATAAATAAAAGCACAAATAAACATTGTATGCTACTTTCCTTCTCTGTAGGAATTAAAAAGACTATTCCCCTTAAAACACATGAATTAAAAACAGCATTTGTCCTTAATTTATGTCAACTATTCCATAGCCAACATAGTTTTAGAATAAAACTACTTTAGAATGCCATTTTCTCTTAGTTCAAATAGACAGAAATTAAAAACCATAAACCTTATGAGATTTATTGTAAGGTAAAGTCTCATAGGACTGCAGCTGAAAAACTAGTTTGGGACTCTGAATCACAAGAAATCCGTACATTTTCTGTTGTAATCTGTGTTTGTGACTACTCAGGCTGGGGCTGTAGTGTTGGATGTTTCTGTCAGCAGGAAGTTCTGAAAGGTGTCAAAACCTGGTTGTAGCACTTTGGAGACGCTCTCAAAAAAAACTGACAGTCCTGTCGACTCTGGGACTATTCTGAGAGAAAATTTGTTCCACAATTTATTTATTTATTTTTTTAACATGTGCACCTTTGTGACACACACAAGGAAATTGATTTACTAGCAACACATTTTATCTATACGTGTCTATCAAAACACTCAAGGTCGCCTTACAAAAGGTAAATGACAAATGAAAAATATTTTAAAAACTATATCTACACCCAAGTGAACATTTAGGACATCTTGTACACTCCCTATGAATGTTGTTTGCTAACTACCGGTAGTCACCAGCCTCAGCCAGTTTTACTATTTTTAAATTTACAGATTTATCAAAGTTTGAACCACAACACAAATACATACTGTGAACTAACACACACACAGCCCGCACACAAAAATTAATAATAGACAATATCGGTAACCATTTTGTAAAAGGGAAATTTGTGTTTGAGCGAGCATCAATGTCTGTAACATTATTTTTAATTTAAGGTTGTAGTTTTAAAATGCTCAACTATGAATACAAACAGTAAGAATCTAACAAAGTTAAGCCAGGTCCACTGGACGGATTCTTCTTGTTGAAACGTTGCGTATTTTATCCAAAAAACTTCTGAACTTCAAAACGTGTTCCTCCTCCTTATATTTAGAGCACGTTAAATTTTAGTAAAATTTAACATGCTTTAAATATAAGTCCGAGGAGCTGGTTGACATGTGAGGGGCCTTTAAATTAAGCCTTCAAAGGCCCTTCACATGTCAGCCACCTCCTCTTTGAGCTACATTTTACTCAATTTTATCCTTACACATTGCAAATATTTACTGGCATTGATATACACTTCACTTCACTAGCATAAGAGGTCACATAAGAATAATACTTAACTGAACAGACTTATTTCTAAAAGAAAGGAATAAAGTACTAGTCCTGGTATCCTATGCCTTCTTGTTACCTTCTTGAACCTGGAAACCTGTGCGTGTTACTTCTCTCCTCACCATAAAGTCTTCACAATCTGAAAATAAACAGTGACAACAACAAAGAAGATACAAGGTTAGCCTAGCGGGCCTCTTACCGTTGTAGTAATGCCCACCGTCCGCCATATTATTCAGTGTCGGGCGAAGGTGAAAAAACAGCGCTGGGTGAAAAAGACTCCGCGGACTTTTCTCCTTTACAAAACTCAAATTTGCGACAATGAAAAAAACTCAGACATTCTTGTCTGTTCGAGTAATAAAGAAGAAACAAGAAAAACGGGAGAACAATTATTCACTGGACACGTCTTTCTCTAGCCGATAGCTTCGCTAGCTTCTGCTAACAAATGAGGAGACGAGGGCGGAAGTAAACATTTCGGAAGCTTCCACTTCCGGGTCACAAAACGAATAAGTTATTTAAAAAAAACAAAAAAACGATATCATTCCCCATTCTTAATATTTTAAGTAACCAGACTTTTTGAAACAATCCTTTCTGGTCCTGATCAATAATTCTCTAGTATTTCTGAAGATCTTTCTAAGGTTTGCTAATTGACGCATCTTTGGAGTGAACATGGAACAACTTAAATAGAAAAACTTTAAGTGTCAAAATGAAATGCCTAAATACTTCATTTAGTTGAGGAAATACATCTTACTAGCATTAGTCAGGTTAAAAAATAGGAAGGATCTGTTTTTTTTAATAGCATAATTGAAAAAAAAATAAATAAAAAATGACAGTGTAATAGTGTTACACTATTATTATGAGGTTGACACCAGAGTAAAATTATTCCTCTTTATTTCTCATTATTATAGATTTTCACAAGTTAAAAATGATAAAAAAAATAATTATTAGTTTCCTTTCTACTGTTAACCATGAAAATAGAATAATGGAAAAAAAAAATCACTGTATGCCACTTTGATTGTTGATATGTGCTGCCAATTATCCATGCTGCTGATCTCATGCTGTATTCATTCATACTCATCTACTCACACAGACTCATGTTCGTGCTGCTGTTGTTCAGCGTATCGTTTTGTACTTAAGTGTTTTGCGTATTTCTTAGTTTATATCCAATTAGATATGTACAGTTTCTTTTACAATCTATATTTTTGTTATTGTTGAATGTAACTGGGCCCCTGTGTACACAGTTTCATTCCACCTCATGTACCACGTGATGCGAATGACAAAGAACCTTGAACTTGAACTAGAGCAACCTTAACAGAAGATTGCTGTTTTTGTACGACATTCATAATTACAACAAAAAAGGTTCAATCATGTCATCTGGACAAGTTTCTTTAAAGGGAGAAACATTTCGTCTTCCATCCGGAAGACTTCATCAGTCACGGCCTAGCAAACAGATCTGTCCCATAAGTAGCCTTCATTACTGTGTTTCAAGCCAACCTCCTGTTGGAGTCTCAGAATCAGGCTTTTAACACATGCAAAATTCACAATTACAGCACAGACCTTTAATTACTTGTTTAAAACTGGACCAGGTTGAATCATTTACTTTACAAATGTCTTAGCAAATCATCCTAATCTTCAAAATTATCAGAAATTATGGCATGTACTAGTAGAAAAATAACTCTACATGAAGTAGATTTCAGTGAATACCTGAACCAAAAGAGTCCGTTTTCTCCATTCCCAGAAGCCTTTGTGTTGATTCTTCCTTGTTTACATTTGTGCTTTAATTGTGTTGTAATTCCTAATACAGTTTGCTACTTACGCTTCGACTCAATCATATTTTACTGTGATTGAGTTTCACCTTTGCTCTTTTTAATACGATTCTCTTGTGATGAAATTGTTCATTTCTCACACCTTTCATTTCGTGTGTATATCAGTCTTTCACTTTAAAGCCCATTGATTTGACATGAAATGTTCTCTCATTGTTGTCATTACATTAATTGTGTTCCCTGCTATGTGACGTCAGACTGTCTTAATGTCAATGCTACGGTCAGTGGTGTAGTCATACTGTGTAATAAAGGTAAATGGACTGCACTTATATAGTGCCTTTCTATCTTATTTCAAGATACTCAAAGTGCTTTACACTACAATCTGTGCCCTCATTTACCCATTCATACAGCACTCTACATAGCTAATTTAACAAATCATTCTAATGAGACTAATCAGTGCTTTATCACATTCATACACTGATGGGACACACATCAGAGGCTATGAGGAGTTCAGTGTCTTGCCCAGGGACACTTTGGCATGTGACTGCTGGTGGATTCGAACCCCCAACTCTTGCATTGGAGGACGACTGCTCTAACCATTCAGCCAGAGCCGCCCCTAAAGGTCAGGTCAAGGTTCTATATTGTCATTCGCATCACATATTGTACCTGAGGTGGAACGAAATTGCGTAAAGTGAGCCTCCACTCTGCTCCGCAGCCCTCGCTGACTTAATTGTGCACGTTTACAACATGTACTACGGTAATGCTGCGGTGAACACTGAGCGTTGCTTTTCAAAATAAAAGCTGAAAAAAAGTTCTTAATATTTGAAAAATAAATAATTAAAAGTTGTGTATAACTGAAAAATATGAAAAACAAATACATAAAAATTGTTATTAGCAGAAACATAAATAAATAAAAGCTGAAAAATATGAAAAAAAAAGTTAATTACATCAAAGTCTTTCTGCCATGTCAGGAACCACTCTCACTTCAGGTTGACTCTAGAAGACCCCCAGATGTTGCACAATAAGTTTGACCAATATCTGATGTTGACTTTCAAAATAAATCACCTCCAAAGTTGAACATAGTTCATTAAAATTTTCAAAAGTTGCAGAGTTGATTGCTGGATAACTGAACGATTTCAGGAACCACTCTCACTTCAGGTTGACTCCAGAAGACCCCTAGATGTTGCCGAAAACGTTTGACCAATATCTGATGTTGACTTTTAAAATAAATCACCTCCAAAGTTTAACATAGTTCATTGTAGAAGTCAAAAGTTGCTGACTTTGTTGCTGGATAACAAAATGATTTCAGGAACCACTCACTTCAGGTTGACTCTAGAAGACCCCCAGATGTTGCCCAAAAAGTTTGAGCAACATCTGATGTTGACTTTTAAAATAAATCACCTCTAAAGTTTAACATAGTTCATTGTAGAATTCAAAAGTTTCTGACTTTGTTGCTGGATAACTGAACGATTTCACGAACCACTCTCACTTCAGGTTGACTCTAGAAGACCCCCAGATGTTGCCCAAAAAGTTTGAGCAACATCTGATGTTGACTTTCAAAATAAATCACCTCCAAAGTTGAACATAGTTCATTGTAACAGTCAAAAGTTGCTGACTTTGTTGCTGGATAACAAAATTATTTCACAAACACTCACTTCAGGTTGACTCTAGAAGACCCCCAGATGTTGCCCAAAAAGTTTGACCAACATCTGATGTTGACTTTCAAAATAAATCACCTCAGTAGAAGGGTAGCAAGGCTCACAGCATTCGAGCACTGAACTTGGGTTTCAAGAACACAACAGACAGTTCCTGTTGCTTCCTGTTGCTCGTTCCAGGACTTCTTCACTGAAGCACTGCTCATGGAACCATATCTCACATGAGTCACTCTGGATCTGCAGAATTAGTTAGAAAACTCATTTATTAAAGTTAAAAAGAATGCGTGTTTATTCCCATTTTACCATGACATTCTCACATTATTTTATCAAGTAATTCATTATCTTTTAGAAAACCATGTGAAACAAATTATTGTCAGTAAACCTCTAAATTTGGAAATTTGCTGTGGAAGGAGTTGAGATTCATCTAAACACATACACTTTAATTGGATGTTGTACCAGGGACCTTCAGTACAAACTTTCGTTCCACCTCGTGTACAACGTGATGCGATTGACAAAAAAGATACTTGAACCATAAAACCTTATCTACAGCATGATATCAAATCCACCAGAATCACATTAAATAATTGACAACTGTTGTGATACTACAAAAAAAAAACATACAACATCAAACAAATGTACCCGACCAGTTTGTCGTTGGAGGCCCTGCACCAGCTGGTTTTGCCAAACAACACATGGAGCAGTTGTTGCCCGAATCAAACACTGTAAATCAAGAAAAACAAGTTACACCATAAAATAATAAGTTAACTATTTATCTGAGGAGTAGAAGTAGACTGCTTTGAGTTTAACTCCATCGCAGAACTCTCATTTTGAGCAAGCATGAAGGAAATATTTAATTTACCCTTTATTTATACAGGTAGTCTCATTGAGTCACGAGAACTAATTTTCAAGAGAGACCTGTTTTAGGGAGCAGATGGGGGTTAAGGGCCTTGGACACCGTCTCCACTATCAGACATGTTAAAAGCTACACAAACAGAAAACCTTGGCTGAATGCAGAGGTGAGCACCCTGCTGGAAGCCAAGAACACCGCCTTCAGGTCTGGAAACTCAGAGGAGCTGAGTAGGACAAGAAAAGAGATGGTTGCTGGTATTAAGAAGGCCAAGGCCACATATGCACAGAGGATCGAGGGTCAATTCATCTCACAAGACCCTCGGAGCATGTGGAGGAGCATTAAGTGCATAACAGATTATAAAGGAAGGAGCGAATGCCCCAAAGACCCATCTCTGCCTGATGCCCTCAACAAGTTCTATGCATGCTTTGAAGACCCGAACAGACCACCCAGCACCAGACTCACCTCACCACCAGATGAAAAGCATCTCAGCGTGACCTCATCAGAAGTAAGGAGTATTTTCAGGAAGATTAACCCTCACAAAGCAACTGGCCCAGAAAACATCACCAGGAAAGTGTTGAAAGAATGTGCCAATCAGCTATCGAGGTGCTGGCTGACATCTTTAACACCTCACTTACCCTGGCAACAGTTCCCACCTGCCTGAAGACTGTCACCATCATCCCAGTCCCAAAAAGCTCTACAGTGTCTGGTCTGACTATCGGCCAGTGGCCCTCATCCGGGTAGTCGCTAAATGCTTCGAAAAACTTATCATGACCCACATCAAAACAACCATCAACATCAACGAGGACCCTCATCAGTATGCATACCGTGAGAACCAATCAACAGAGGATGCCATCTCCTCTGTGGTCCACATTGTGCTCAACCACTTGGAGCAGAACTCTTATGTCCGTATGCTCTTTGTAGACTTCACGTCTGCCTTCAACACCATGATCCCCCAAACCCTGATGGACAAACTACTTACACTAGGACTAAGCCCCTCAATTTGCAACTGGGTACTAGACTTCTTAAACAGACCACAGTTAGTGAGGATCCACAACTTCTCCCCCTCCACCATGGCCCTTAGCACTGGCTCTCCTCAGGGATGTGTGCTGAGCCCCCTCCTGTTTACTTTGCTCACGTATGATTGTGCAGCTACCCATCCAGGCTCTCATATTGTAAAGTTTGCAGAT